TGTATGAAGAAACTCATGATAATATAAATAGACTATCCTATCTACTTTAATTTAGTAATTATTAAAAAGCATATATTAACTTCTTATTTTATATAAATTTTAAATAAGCAGTCATAGTTTAACAAATTATTTATGAATTAATATTGTGATTATTAAAATGCATACATTAACTTGTTATTTTGTTTAAATTTTATTTAAATAGTCTTATATAAAAAATACCATAGTAGCTTTTTCAAAAAACTATTTACATGAATATTTTATCTCTAATTAAATTTTTTTATATAAAGATAATTATATAAAAAAATTTTTATTTTTATAACATTATGAATAAGCATATATAATTATAAAAAAATGCTTAAATAAGGAAAATTTTATGAATGAGGAAATATGAGCAAATAATAAATTTGATAATTTTATCAGAAAAATATAGTGTCGGATTTTTAAATAATTATTTTTGAAATTATTTCGCTTATAAATAAAACTAATTAATGAATAATTGAATTGTCCTCCTAAATTTGATCATTTATTGCTAATTTATTTTGATATAGGCAAAAATAATTTTTATTTAAGTATCGGAATCCAATTTGGATAGCCTATGATACAAATAGATTTTCAGATTAGATTGGCAATTTTTTTAATTTAATTAATAAATGAAATAAAGCTCAATTAAAATAAATAATCATTGATTTTCCATCTAATGATAAAGCAGCCTTAAGGTCTGTGAATTTTAGATAGAAGAAATTTTTATTACATTTGCTGATTAAATAATTTTTAAATCATTCTTCTGATAAGAAAGTTAAACAATTTATATGATAATGCATTTATATGATTAATTTATAATATTGAATTCATGAATAATTATATTTCAAATATTATTGACAATAATCTAACTATTTATATGCAAACATAATTAACTAAATGATTTAAATATAATTACTAATTTTTTTTTCTCAATATTTCTATGAAAGGCATGATAATATTTTTATTTATAAAAAGATAAATTTCATGTATTGATCATTTAATTTTATTTAGAATTGAAAGATGAAGCCAATAACTAGTTAGCCATTATAAAGGAATTATAAATTTGCAAAGGATAAATTGGGTTATGACACGAAGGCTTCATATCATATCATAATATAAATTCATATCTTTATGCTTAAGCCTTATTAAGCTTAATAAAGGCTTCAAAAGAAAGGAGTAAATGCTTTCAATAAAATTTATATTTTATTCTATCATCAAAGTCTGATCTGTTAAAGAGAAAAGTTAATTTGGTTTATTAATTAACCAATTGTTAAATTAAGATAATTAATCTCTCAAATTAAATCAATTCATAATTTGTACTATTCTAATGGGGTAAAATTTTATGGCTTTAATAAAATTCTCTTTTTAGTTTCATTATCTAATAAATTCGTATTATATTAATACTCTTAATTGTGATACTACTTTGAATCATAATTTAATTTGGACAAATTATGAATGAATTTAATCAAAATATTAAACTAATAAGAAATAATCTATCATTAATTACAAAATGGTTTTCTGAAATTTTATTTAAAATTTTGATGTCTTTTATTCAATATTGTTTAAATTCACAAATTAAATAAGTTGGAANATAAAACTAATTAATGAATAATTGAATTGTCCTCCTAAATTTGATCATTTATTGCTAATTTATTTTGATATAGGCAAAAATAATTTTTATTTAAGTATCGGAATCCAATTTGGATAGCCTATGATACAAATAGATTTTCAGATTAGATTGGCAATTTTTTTAATTTAATTAATAAATGAAATAAAGCTCAATTAAAATAAATAATCATTGATTTTCCATCTAATGATAAAGCAGCCTTAAGGTCTGTGAATTTTAGATAGAAGAAATTTTTATTACATTTGCTGATTAAATAATTTTTAAATCATTCTTCTGATAAGAAAGTTAAACAATTTATATGATAATGCATTTATATGATTAATTTATAATATTGAATTCATGAATAATTATATTTCAAATATTATTGACAATAATCTAACTATTTATATGCAAACATAATTAACTAAATGATTTAAATATAATTACTAATTTTTTTTTCTCAATATTTCTATGAAAGGCATGATAATATTTTTATTTATAAAAAGATAAATTTCATGTATTGATCATTTAATTTTATTTAGAATTGAAAGATGAAGCCAATAACTAGTTAGCCATTATAAAGGAATTATAAATTTGCAAAGGATAAATTGGGTTATGACACGAAGGCTTCATATCATATCATAATATAAATTCATATCTTTATGCTTAAGCCTTATTAAGCTTAATAAAGGCTTCAAAAGAAAGGAGTAAATGCTTTCAATAAAATTTATATTTTATTCTATCATCAAAGTCTGATCTGTTAAAGAGAAAAGTTAATTTGGTTTATTAATTAACCAATTGTTAAATTAAGATAATTAATCTCTCAAATTAAATCAATTCATAATTTGTACTATTCTAATGGGGTAAAATTTTATGGCTTTAATAAAATTCTCTTTTTAGTTTCATTATCTAATAAATTCGTATTATATTAATACTCTTAATTGTGATACTACTTTGAATCATAATTTAATTTGGACAAATTATGAATGAATTTAATCAAAATATTAAACTAATAAGAAATAATCTATCATTAATTACAAAATGGTTTTCTGAAATTTTATTTAAAATTTTGATGTCTTTTATTCAATATTGTTTAAATTCACAAATTAAATAAGTTGGAATACAAGAAAGATAAATTGTTTTATATAATTTCAATTTCATAATATGAACCAGAAAATTATAATGATTTAATTAATCTAAACTATTTAATAAGAAGTGAATAATTTTTTTTGTATTATGTTCCTTTCAAGCATATTTAATTTACAATTGCAAATTGGACAAATACCAATAATAATTATAATCTAAATCATAATCTTCTAGATAATTACTAGCACATATGATGATGATTCAACCTATGATTATACTGTAAAATATTATTTGCTTACTTAATTAAAAAATGGAAGAATAGATTGCTAAATTTTTTAATTATAACCTTAAGAATCTTCAATCTAGTAAAAAAATGCTTCAATCTCTTTTGGAGTTTATGAAGATAGCAAAAATAGTTTTTGGCTAACCGATTTATAGAGCATAATTGTATCCACAAAGACCTGGTTTTAGAATGAATTCAAAAATCTATATGTAACCATTTCTTTTTTGTTTTTTTTGTAAAGTTTAAAGTTTAGTCAATCTAAAAATAAAAGTCCTTATTTTATTAACAAACTAAATATTTCTAAATAATAATCTTTTAGTTATCTTGATTTTAAAATAAAATTATATTATGATTTACATCTTTAGAAACAAGAAAAAATAGCATAAAAATTTTATATTCTTTTCAAATTTGACTTTTGTTTCATATTTCTATCAAAAAATAATTCATATTTAAAAACTAATTTGATGTTTAAGTGAATAACAATATTTAATTCTTTGAATTCTCAATTAATTTAAGTTTATAATTTAGATGGTTCATCAAATTTTACCATTAAATATTGAATATCCAATTAATATCTTTAATGTAAGTTTTCCCAACACAAACAAAAGAAAATGAAAATCTGAACTCTGAAAGCAAGTAAGAAATAGATTATTAGATATATAGTCAATTGCATCAACTCTCAACATCTATTGGCCTCTAATCATAATAAGAAACTGATGAAGAAATCAAATCATTCTTTCATTTAAGTGTCATTATGATTGCTATTCAAAGTGGTAACTTTGCACTTGGTTATTCACTAGCATATTTATCAATTTCATTCACAACATTATTTTCACAAATGTAGATTAATATATAAATAAAAGTACATTGCAGGGTTCTGAAATAGAAGAATAAGGATTATTTAGTGCTGTATTATCTATAGGTCAAATTATTGGTGCTATTATGACATAGCCACTGCTTAAATATACAACAAGAAACTAATCTCTTTTGATTTCAGATGCATTTGGTATCATAAGCATCCTTCAAATAATTCCGAATAGAGAAGTTATTCTTGCTTTTCGTTTCAGTTTTGGTGTTTGTTTGGGTATTTCTACAATAATAATGCCACTATATTTAAAGGAATTGTGTCCTTAAAAATATTATGAATCTTTTTCAGTTATGGCTGGCTTTCTGGTTGGAGGAGGATATTTATTTGTTACTTTTTTAGGTTTAGGTTACATAGATGATTCTTTAAATGGTTCTGATTCTAATTATTGGAAATTCATTTTTGCCTTTCCTGCTTTATTACACTTTTGTAGATCTTTTATACTTACATTTCTATATAAAATGGATAGTCCCATAACTCTAATTCAAAGGGATAAAGATATATTAGCAAAAGAAATATTAAGAAAAATTTATCAACCATAATATATAGATTAAGCATTTTTAGAATGTAAATTAGGAGTTCAAAAAAACATCGAATTAGGAGAAGGGATACTCAGTATTTTCACTAAAAAGCATAGAACAACAGTAATAATTGGCTGTGTACTTGTTTTTGTTTATACTTGGTCAGGATTATTTGCATTATTTTCTTATAGTTCATAAATATTTTCAGAAATGTCAAAGGATGATACTACATTGAATGCAATATTTAATTTAATTATTGGAATAGTATAATTTGCTCCTGCTTTTATATCTAAATATGTTTATGGAAGATGGGGTAAGAGATCCTTGTTATTATTTGGACTTACTGTCCTAATTTTATGTTAGATACTTATTATTGGACTTAGTTATTCCTAAGAATTATCAATTGTCGTTATTTCATTTATTGTCATCTGTATCTTTTCTTTCTAATATGTATTGACTTTGGAACCAATTACTTGGGTAAAGTCTTTAATTTATTAAGTCTATGATTCCGGAAATCAATTCAAGTGAAGGGACTTACTTCTGTTTTGTTACTTTATATGCTTGGTAATTGTTAGTTTTGTATATTTTTCCATTGATGTTGGATACTTTGGCTATGAGTGGATCATTTATTGTTTTCTTAAGTCTCACATTATTATCAACAACTTTCTTTTATTTTTTTGTTAAAGAAACAAAAGGATTAACACATAAAGAAGTTGATAAAATCTATGGAAAAGATTGAGATAAAAATATAATTTAAATTATGTATTTTTTAAAATAATGTTAATAATCATTCTTCATAAAGTTCCATTCTATATAATTATTAATTACTCAAATTTATATATATAAAATTAAATTTGAATATCCATAATATCTTAGAATAGATCAATATGAAAATGATAAATATATTTTCAAAAATACTATATCTAAATAATAAAATAAATTTTAATAATAAATTCTAATAATAGTTTTAATTCATTATAACAGAGGATACTAAATAAAAAAAATTGGGTATTCTACAAATAATTGTATAAATCGATTGAAAATTTTTGTGAATATCTTAAATAAAATTAAAAAGATGCTATCTCACCTTCTTTTAGGCTCTTTTGTATTATTCATTTATGTTTTTGTTCTTAAACCATTGTGCTCAATGTTTAAGTTGAAGATGTAGTTTGGATAAGATTGCAAAATGTCATATCACTTCTTAGGAGGGGAGATATGGAAGCGATTGAATGAGATGAAGATTACTCATGACATTTTCAAATATGAACAGGAGTAATATAAAAGACACCCTTATAAAATATTTGTTTCAAACTTTCTTTGGAAGATAAGAATACAAGTGACTGATCCTGAGTACTACAAAGTGATGCTTCATAATCATTAATATTATGAAAAAGTTAATGTTATCAATGATAAGTAATAGTCTTTCATATTATTAGCAATTTAATGAAAAAAGGCTTGATTTTTGAAATGAATGGTCACTGGAAGACTTAAAGAACTCTTTTAGCAGGATAATTTGAATTCCTAAAACTAAAAAATAGGTTGCCCATGATAAATCAGGTTAGCCTTGAAATGATTTCAGAATTATAGTGCTAGAACAATATATTGGAAGTACTGGAGCTTATAACAGGAGAAATAGTAATAAAAAGTTTTTTTGGAGATACTGCTAAGAAAATAACAATATTTGAAAAAGATATTTAAGTAGTGATAGCAGAATTACTAAATGATATGGGAGAAATAAGATTAAAGTCTAAATATGTTTATGTCAAAAGACTCATTTTAGGTACTATGGCTTGTAATTTTTTCCCAACTGAAAACGAAAAGAAAATATAGTAAAGGATTGACCTAGTTAAGTTTGAAATTACAAAATTAATTAAAAATAGGTTAATAGAAATACAATCAAGTACACAATAGAGCTAAGGCAATTCAAAGTCAAATCTATTCATAGATGTTCTTCTTTAAGATTATATCGACAATTATCATTCTAAATCAGAAAGCCAAGCTATTGATGAGATATTATAACAATTTATCACTTTATTATTTGCAGGTACAGACACTACAGCAGTTTTATGTTATCATTGCCTTTACTTTTTTGCATTGTATCCAGAAGCCCAATAAGAAATTAGAGAAGAAGTATTAAGTGTGTGCACTGAGGAACACATATTGGATGATAAATTTAAATAATTAAACAAATTATCTGCATTTATTAATGAAGTTTTAAGATTGAGAAATCCAGCTGCTAAATTGATACTCAGAAATAGTATTTAGACACATTAAGTTAAAGATCTTAAAATATAAAAAAGTATATTTATGTTATTAAATATTAGACTGGAATGTAATAATCAACCCTTTGTTGCAATCAGTTTCAGAATAACATTTTATAAACCCAGATGATTTTGATTATAAAAGATGGCTAACTCCTGAGCCAATTCTAAATAATGACAACTTCATATACCTCCCTTTTTCAGCAGGTCCAAGGAATTGCATAGGATAGCATATGGCTTTGATGGAGGCAAAAATAATTCTGTCTCAAATTTTAAAATAGTTTATTATATAGCCCAATGAACATGTAATACCTAAATGGACTCTAAGATTTGTATATCAGTTATAACCTAGTAACTGTGTGAGATTAATCAAAAATTTAAGATAATAATGATTGAATATTAAGAATATTATTATCATTATTTTTTAAATCTTTAGAATCGATTATCAAAGATCATGAATAATAAATACTAGCATTTTCAAAGTAAACCTAATAAAAATAACAAAAACTATTATGGAATATAAAAAACATCATTTCTTTTTTGGATAGTGATATAAATTCAAAATAACATTTTTTATTTTGCTTTAATGTTTTAATTTACGATTGTATTTATAATAATAATTCTTAAATTTTTTAATTCTAACGAATATAAATTTTAATTTGAATAAATATTGTTTTTTTTAGTTTACAAAAATATTTTAAACAGATTTTCTTTATAAGAAAACTGCAAAATCAAAATCCACAGGCCCCTTTTAAAAAAAGTAATAAATTAAATTAAACATTTATTAATTTAAATATTTCTAACTTCTAAATAAACTGCTGTTCTGATAAATAACACTAACCATCAAAGATTCCAATCTAAAAAGTTTTTCTAAAAATAGTCATACACCTTATTTAACCAACTAAAGGGTCTAAAATCAACACTCTGGATTTACTTCTATAAACCAGAAATTTTACTATAACATCAACAATCATGTTAAATAATTATTTATATTTAAATCTCCTTATTTTAAAATAAATAAGATTATTTACCTGATTTGAGGAGTTTTGTCATTCATAGGCTAAAATAGAAATTTTTATTAATATTTTTTCATCTATTTAGATATTTTATTTCATTTTAGAACAATTCGATTTTCTTTTTTGATTCAATAAGCCAATTCTTACATTCTCACTTGATAACTCTTAAAATTGCAAGAGTAATTCGATTATGTAACATTTAAAAATAAGAAGAATCACCTCTTTCCCTTTTGAAAAAATACCATTTAGACTATATCTTCAAATATATATGTAATTGATATAAAATAATAAAATAATGCATAAAAAGNGATGGAGGCAAAAATAATTCTGTCTCAAATTTTAAAATAGTTTATTATATAGCCCAATGAACATGTAATACCTAAATGGACTCTAAGATTTGTATATCAGTTATAACCTAGTAACTGTGTGAGATTAATCAAAAATTTAAGATAATAATGATTGAATATTAAGAATATTATTATCATTATTTTTTAAATCTTTAGAATCGATTATCAAAGATCATGAATAATAAATACTAGCATTTTCAAAGTAAACCTAATAAAAATAACAAAAACTATTATGGAATATAAAAAACATCATTTCTTTTTTGGATAGTGATATAAATTCAAAATAACATTTTTTATTTTGCTTTAATGTTTTAATTTACGATTGTATTTATAATAATAATTCTTAAATTTTTTAATTCTAACGAATATAAATTTTAATTTGAATAAATATTGTTTTTTTTAGTTTACAAAAATATTTTAAACAGATTTTCTTTATAAGAAAACTGCAAAATCAAAATCCACAGGCCCCTTTTAAAAAAAGTAATAAATTAAATTAAACATTTATTAATTTAAATATTTCTAACTTCTAAATAAACTGCTGTTCTGATAAATAACACTAACCATCAAAGATTCCAATCTAAAAAGTTTTTCTAAAAATAGTCATACACCTTATTTAACCAACTAAAGGGTCTAAAATCAACACTCTGGATTTACTTCTATAAACCAGAAATTTTACTATAACATCAACAATCATGTTAAATAATTATTTATATTTAAATCTCCTTATTTTAAAATAAATAAGATTATTTACCTGATTTGAGGAGTTTTGTCATTCATAGGCTAAAATAGAAATTTTTATTAATATTTTTTCATCTATTTAGATATTTTATTTCATTTTAGAACAATTCGATTTTCTTTTTTGATTCAATAAGCCAATTCTTACATTCTCACTTGATAACTCTTAAAATTGCAAGAGTAATTCGATTATGTAACATTTAAAAATAAGAAGAATCACCTCTTTCCCTTTTGAAAAAATACCATTTAGACTATATCTTCAAATATATATGTAATTGATATAAAATAATAAAATAATGCATAAAAAGTAAAGTAAAAACAGTTTTTTGCACAATAATAATAAGAAAATCTTTTTTGAAACCAAATCTAAACACACCTTATTCCAATCAATATTCAAATATAGAAAATCAACTTTGATAAGAAAATTAAGTCATACTTAAATTAAAAATATGTCCAAATGGTATTTTGAAATTATTAATAGATTTGATTAGGAAATAAAAGCTATTTTTATATAATTTAATAATTCTTCTTCAATTTTGTTTGACTTGAAGATAAGATTGAATTTTCAAGCCCTTTTATTTAAAGTTTATAGATCTTTATCAATTATTAATTTAAATATTCAATCCTTTTATTGCTAAATTTCTATTTGATTTACATAATTGAAGAAATTTAATAAAGCTTATTTATCTTTTATTTTTTTGTTAATTAAACCTATTATATTATCATTTAATATAAAATTTTTGAAACAAATTAATAATTTAATTTATGAATCAATTTTGAATTAATATTATAAGGAAAATTATATGGAAAAGTAAGTTAATAATTATTTACTCAATTTATTATATAGTTGGCTAAAGAAAAATGAATTTAAAGGTATGAAACATGCATTCTCCAAAGAAATTAGAATTATTACATACTATATTACAAATGAATATTTTAATACTTTAAATTTATATGGATTTATGAAATATTGATATTTCTGATTCTACAATAATTGATTATCCAAATATTTGTTTTTTTTAGATTATAAGTATAATAAAGGTAATAATGAAAGTTGATTTCAAGATAATATTAATGAAGAATAATATTTGAATAAAGTCATAAAATATCTAATATTTAAATTAAAGAAAATATTTCTGTGTTGATGATTAAATCATAATAAGAGGATAATTGTAAGATTTAAATAGAGACAGAAAGAAAAGATTAAAAAATTTGTGGGATAGTCAATTTCACATTCAAATTTTAAGCAGATTATTAATTAGAATACAAATTTGAGGATTGCTTAATAAAAAATCATTACTTGAAAATTGATGATTTCGAAGATCTTGTTTTTCCAGAAGATCTGAATATTAATTATTGTTATTCAAATGAACAAGGAGAATAAATTTAATTAGACAAATAAGATTATGAGATAGATGATATTTCTGACCATGATAATAGTTACGAATATAATAATGAAGGTATTTCATCTTTTTATGTATAATATATGGTAATAAGTCCAAATCACTAATTTATATTTTTAAGTGTGATTATAAAAATCTTAAATTAGTAAGAGTCATATAGACTGATGGTAATTGATATCAAGAATTAAAAGATTAAGAAATTTTGTTACAGAAATTATTTACCAGGTTAAAGACCATAATTTTCAAAAAATGGTAATGTAGCAATTATGAATATTTCTAAAAATGATAAAGGATCAAGATATATATTTTTTGATCTTTAAAATGATCTTTAAAAAGTAACAATCTTTAAATTTCGTCGGCAATAATTATTAAGGATAGAATATGATGATATATCTCAGTGTTTTTTTTATATAACATCAAGTGGTAAATTAATTAAATAACCAATCAATTTTGAAGATTACACAATTGATAAATCTAAATGTTGGAAATTTAATATCTGTCTAATATTAAATGAATAACTTTATCGCTATGTTCGTTTTTATTTACTTTATGATTCTATTGGGCTTCTTTTAGATGAAAATGGTATATTTATTGTTATTAGAATTGGAAAAAATTGTAAAGTTATTAGGAATTATATCTGTAAATCCAACCCTGTATATATATTCAATAAGGCTTTTGTTGTTGCATCCGATTACTATTAGAATAAACTACTTGTTATAGATGCATTAAAAGGAAAATTAATAAGAAAGATTGATTTTTCTTAAAGAACAGATAAATATTAATATTATTATCCTCCAAAAAGATCTTATTATGTTTCTTATTTATAATATTACCCTTAAGAAGAAAATAGTGATTTTGAAGATTCGAGTATGCCTCAATTAGAAAAGGGATCCAAATGGATGATTTTTGATGTTATCAGAGGAATTGAGAAAGAAGTCAATAAAACAATATTAACTTAAGAAAATATAGAGAAATAGATATTTACACATAATTTTGTAGCTCAAAAATATCAAAATAAAATTAGTTTTCAGCTTAAATTATGAATTTTAGTAAACATTAATAGAACATAAAAAATTTGTTAAATAATATCATTTTATTATTATTATATATGATTGCAGTTTTCAAAATTTCTTCATGTATTTTTTCATTACATACATAATTCTTTTTAGTTTTTTTGATTAAAAGTTTTCTATAATTAAATTTTTAAATCAATAATATTTTTAATTAAGAAATCTTGAACTGACTAATTATTTTTGTTTATGAATTAGAAATATAACTTTTACAGTCTATTATAGTTATAAAAACTACTTTTCACATTTCCTCTAAGCTTAAAAAATTCTAATTCATTTGAATGAATTGCATATTCTTTACTTCAAATTATGAAATTCTTGATTTGATTGTAATATCAACAAATTTTTTGACCAGAAACTTTTTCATAATATCAATTATATAAATTTTAATAAAAGAAAGATTTCTTTTGTTTTGATGAATGATCAAATCATTCAATTTATCCATTTTCTTTTACATTTAAAGTAAATTTCTTAACTATTCTAAATCTATTTAATAAAAAACATATATTTGTAGATTACATCACTGATTTCCTAAAATTTTACTATAATATGTAAATTTTTAGATTGATATTTAATTTTTAGTTAAAATTTAATTTTATAAATGAAACAAATATTTATAGATGAATATAAAAATCACAAAATAGTCTAAAATAACTATAGAGTAGCTTCATGATATAATAATTAAAAAAAGTATACTATTTGATTTAAATTCTATATCATGACACTTTTTCAATTTATTATTGTAAAGTTATAATTTGATTATTAACATTTCTATATAAACAACAAAGATTATAATCATATTATGAATCAGCATCTTTCACTGCTAAATATTTTTTTGACATTATAATTACTTTCAATAGTAATTTATCACAAAATTATTTGGAATGATTTTAACATTAAATCCATATTATTTTTATTATATTTAATTATTATTGTAGAGGGTGGTGAATGCTTCTCAAGCATATTATGATTGGGTCTGGGGTGCATCTAGCCTTCTTGTGATTAAGAATGTAGAATCAAACCAAAGAGATAACAAAAAAAAATATTGAAGATAAAGAAATGAAATCTTTCTTTGAAGGTTGGATCAATTTTCTCTTTTGATCCAGTACATTTCTTCTCTTATTGAGGCTCTTTATTTTAAATGGAGAAGGTCCATCTGGAACTAATAGCTGCAGCATAAAAATAAAAATTTCTGAAAATTATTGTAAATAATAAGATTAAAGGTACAATAATTATTAAAAATCAATTGTAATGACCTGGAATTTATATTATAAAAAGGGAAATACAAAGTTATTAGCTGAAGTATTAGAATTTCAAATTAGATACAAATGTAGTATAAAAGATAAAAATATGGTATAAAATATCATAATTCATTCAATATATCAGTATATGTCATAAATATTATATTAATACTTTTTATATATATTTGTATATCATAAGATTAAAGATTATTCTTCATAAAATTTTCTTATTTATAAGTATTATGATTAATTATTCCATGTAATTAAATATTTAAAATTGGAATTAATAGATCCTAGTATATAATCTGATTTAAATTACATTAATCTTTAAATTTTGCTTATTAAAACAACCAAGCAACTTATATCCTGAATAATTTTCAATTTATTATTATTTAATGACATGATTAATCTTAGTTTTCAAGACTCAAACTTAAATACTTAATCATTATCATCATAGTAATCTAACTATTAAATAACAATTACTTCAATCTCGAAACTTTCGATTTGTTTAGTATTAACTTCAAACAATTGCAATTAAAAATAAAACCAGTCATATTTGTTAAAAGACTACTATTGTCTATAAAATTTAATTTTAATTATATTATTTTAATTTATCAAATTAAGACTATTATAAATTAATTAACAAATTTGATCCTTAATGTATATATGAATTTTCTTTGCTTTTACCATCTATTTATTAATGCAATTACTATCTTTTTCTATAGATTTTAATATTAATATAGAATATCCTACTGAAAGTAGTTCTTAAAAGAATTTTAGGCATCTAAATTCTTAGATTTTTATGATTACTTTCCATGATAATCTATCATAATCTCTAAAAATATCATTATTATTAAATAAATCATTTGATATGAGTAATTAAACATCCATAAATTATAGAAAGATAAGCTTTTTTAATCTTGGATCTAAATTATAGATTAAGTTTGTATTTTCAAATCATAAAAGAGAATAATAAATTGTTGAAATATAGTATAACTCATAATTCATCATTAAAATTATTCTAATTTGAAGAATCAGATGCATCTATAATTCCACTGTAATCTTTTTCTAAAGATTTCAATATATCTCTTCCTTCTTAAAATTCACATTCTTCAAGACCTTCTCTAATGTAGACCCAACCAAAAGCTCGTTTAGCATAAAGTTAATCCCACTACTTTCCTAACAAATTAAATCTATTCGAAATTGAAGCATCATTTGAGAAGAATATTCCAGTTTATTTCATTTCAGCCAGTTCAGGTAATATTTAGTAATTAGATGAAGTGCATTGAAAAACTAGAGGATTTTATTGATAGAAATGTTCTAAATTTTAAAGAGTCAAATCGAACTTGCCATAAAAATTGTTCTCTTCCTTTTATCTAAATAATAAGGTTGTTGAAAGATGTTTAGGATTTTTAGGACATTAATAAAGTTTAATCTCTTTTTAAGTTAAATATTTTATAAATTCAGTTTGATTTTATTTTTTTCTAGTGTAATCATTTATTAAACTCATTTTTCCATATGAAGGAATGATATAATGCAAATCAGGATATGGACAAATATTTTAAAAAAGTTTGGAATTGTTAATATTGTTAAATCTTCTTAGTCCAGTGTATGAACTAATTATTTATGCAATCACGTTATTTAAATGGGAATAATCTACATAATCTAAATCTAATTGTTAATCAATCACATTGTATATTGATTAATTGTCAAACATAATTATACTATCAAAATGCTCCAATGTCATATAAATTGAAAAAATAGAATTATAAATTTCAAGAACATTATTCGACATTTATGAGGATGGGAATAGTATAAATCCATTCTGTTTTACTTTTATTCCATAATCATATCTTAAACTGTCAATTAATTAAGAAGAAAATCCAGACCCAGTCCCTCCGCTTATTGATGCAGTTATCAGAAATTAATCTAATCGATCCATCGTTTCTACTTATTTTCTAATAAAGTCTAATCCCTGATCAATTAAGTATTTTCCGACAGTATACCTTCCTCTAGAATAGACATTAGATGAGTCCTCTTTTCCATAAACAAATGAATGCTTCTTAAATTTGATTTATTTATTTCTTTAAACCTCATATATCATTCTGTCATCTAAATCAGCAAATAGTGCTAATGGATGATAGTTTTCATCAACTTAGTCATAAATATAATTCTTCTATGTAGTCTCATTGTGTTCCTTATCATACAATTTCCATAACATATCACCCATCATTACACCAGCCCCCCCAATATGAATATGAAATGCAGACGACATCCTAAGTTAACTATTTAAATAAAAATAATAATATAAGAATTATAGTATTTCAATTTTGTTAAAATCAAATTTTTAATTTTCTATTAAATTATATAAGAACCTAAAATATTTTACCATTTCTAAAAGAATAATAATAAATTTTGGATTTGAATTATTATTATCATGCCTTATTACGATTAGATAGAGATGAGTAATTTAATTAATTGATATATGTAACATTTTATATCATTCATTTTTTTAATTTAATCATTTTAATATCATCTTCTTTATTTGAATTATGATTCTTTTTTAAGTAAATGAGTAACAATTAGTCAAACTAAAATCCAGATAATACTTAAAATTTTCAAAATTTATTGATTTTATTCAAATATTTATACTTGTTTTGTTATCAAAAAATTAACCATGCTTAATCTTCTCATGGGGTCTAATAGCTCAAGAGGTTTTAAGTCGGGTTAAAATGGCGTATGGAGCTGTAATTAGTCGATTTTACCCCCATTGTTAACTTAAAAAGGGACAAGAGCTTACTTATGTTGAACTCTATATATAGTTGTTTGGGCTTGAGGAGTCTAATTTGGAATTTAGGTCAGACCTTGTTTCTAGCTGAATATAACATCAAACTAAAAGAGCCTGAATAATGACTTAATCTATGTTGGCAGTGAAAGGAGTGGTAATTGATACTTTCCCAAAGGGGGGATTAGAATTTTGGGATAAACTCATAATAGAGGCTCATGATATTAATATTAAAGAGTAAAGAAATCTTCTGGAACAAATCCCCTACTTTTAAACGGTCCTTGGGTATTTTTTTAATGATACAAAACATTAAAAAAAGTCCAAATCTTAATTTTAAACAAAATTAAATAGTCAAATTCTCTTGTAAAATTTTAATAATCAGTCTAAAAAATTATATCTCATTGAATCAAACAGTATCAGAATCAAATTAAATAATAATTAATTACATAAGGGTGTTGAAGATGATAGACTAATTAAAGAAGTTGCAACAGAGATTAGTATTAGTAAAGCAAATAGATATATTCATATTCATACATATGAAGAATTTTCTACTTAAATATTTATTAAATGCAGTAAGTATTTTTGCTACGAATTTAATTCCTTTCAATACCTAACATTAGAAGAAAAAAGTTATTAAAAAGAGTTGAAAACAATTTTGATTAAAATACTATATGAATATTTAAAATAAATGATCAATCAAAGTCTGCAGGTTCTGAATATGTAACACAAATAATATTTGAAAACATTTTTTTTTTAACTGTGGTTTTAATTGTATTGAGGCATACATTGAAAATAAAGATTATGCCAGATCTAGGTATGTTTATGGGGAAAGATTTAATAAGAGGAAGGACAAAATATTAGGGTTAAACCATTTTGCGGTCTATTAAATTAAATTTTTGTAATATAGAATTAAATTGATAGAGCTAAAATGATATCCTATTAATTAGAGGCTGTTGTTTAAAAGATTGAAGAAATATGTCTAATATATAAGTATATATAAGAGCATCTTAGATAAACCTTTATTAATAACAATGATGGATTTTTAATTTACCTCTTATTCACTTTTGATTATCCAAAATACTAAGATTGAAGAGGAATTTTTTAATGTGGTTATATTCTACTGTTCCTTTTAATTAAGATTTGTAAAAAGTAGCAAAATGTATATTTTCTTCAATTGTCATCTTTTAATCACACTCTGAATGATTAAGTGAGAAATCCTTTACACATTTAATTTACTTGGAATATTAATTAAATGATCTTTAATAACAACTGAATCAGACTGATATAATATAATATTAATTAATATTATATATGTTATATAAATTTCATAATTCCTTAAACTATCTTACTTATATTTCCTTTGATCCACAATCCCAAGTGATCAAATAATCTCCGTTATCACTTAATTATCCAAAAATATTAAAAGTATTAAATTATATAGACTGTTAAATTATAAAGTCACCATTTTCTTTCTTACGCATTATATTCACATTCCTACCATTCTTATTACCAGAATACATTTTAACTTTAAGTATTATTATGAAAATAATAATTCACAATAAATAGAATCACAATTTACAAAAATCTCTTTTGTCTTCATATATATTTACCTATGACTATCCATTTCATACACATGCATTTATTCTTAACAATAAGGTTAGAATATGAAAAAGTTATCATTAATAAAACATATCCTGTATCCAAATTAATCTACTTTTATCTTTTATGTTACATACCATTATTAATCTTATGTTGATTATTCTATAACTAAAATGTATGAATCTTTAGAACAAGAAATCAATTTATTTTATTGTTCATTTAAGCTTAATGAATATATTTAATCTTAATGATCAGATATTGTTTGTTAACATAACCATTATTTCTATTTAATCCAAAAATTTATTGTGCAATCATGACTACATGATATAATGAGATTATCATTATTATTTACTATTAAACAATAAATAGGATCTAAATGTCCAATTAATTTTTATTAACAATTCCATTAATGATATCCAATCTCTTACCATATTATAATTGCATTTTCACCACCTCCAGAAACAAAATTATTTGTACTCATAAACCTTAAAATTAGCACACTTTTTTTATGTCCACTTAACAATTAAATTTGATCCAGTTTACCTTAATTATGTTTAAATACTTTAATGTTCTCATTACAACCGGCAACCACAATTTATTGATCCTTATTAAAAGCAACAGCACAACACCATTCATTTTATTTAATTGAATTTTAATCAATGAGTTCATAATTGACTTTTACTTCTTTTTTTTATTCTACATTCATATATATTATCTCCTCATCCTTCTTTTATTTTATTTCAACATCTTCTGTTTATCTGATCTCCCTTTCTAAAATTTCATTATCCTATATTTTTTTAATTTATTGATTCTATTCAACTAATTCTTATTCCTCATTTTTAAATTCATTTTACATTATAGACTTATCTAATGATTATGAATCCTAGGAATCTGACATGTCTATTGTTAAATTTTAATATTGATAATAAGTATATATTAAATAAAATTTAAATGATATATTTTAAATCAAAATGTACCATTAACAATATCTCTTTGTTTTTTTAGAAGATTAATATTTCATAATTCAAAAACATAAATATAATAATTCGAAATGTATCAAGGCCCTGTTATGTTCTCTAACTTATACATCAAGAATCATTTATAATCATTTATTAACTTGAATCTTTCTTCAACCTTTCTAATAATCTATCATTAATCAATTGACTAAAGTTCTTCTTACAATTAAAATTTTCTATTAATATAATAAGATAAAAATACATAATGACAGTTTCAGTATTTCTAATTTGATATTTAGAAAACCTTTTGAAGACGCAAAATTGATAATTATTATTAATGAAATCTTTTAATTTAATAACTAAAAATTATCATCAATATTAAGAGTAATGATAAATTATTTTGAGATTCCTTAAATTAAAAAATATCTAATAAGGATAAATCAATAATAGAAGACTATAAATAGATAAATAAAGGAAAAACCTTTTAGGCAAATTTTACGAATAAAAACTGCTTTCGAAGAGTCACTAGTTTAGTTTTACATTCTAAAAATAAATTAGATTAAAAATCTTTTTAGAATTAGATTGTTCATAGTTTATAATTCTGAATAATCTATGTGAGATATATATATGTAAAATTTCTAAAAGTGTTCTTTGGATAATTGAGTAACACTATTTAATGTTTTTTTGAAATCATAAAGAATTACTAAATATTTAATTACCTTAATTTTGAATGGAACAATTTCATGAAAAAGGAAGGCTAAATTATAAAAAAATGCTTAATCACATTTATCTATATTAATAAAGTAGGATAACAAGCCAAAGAAACAATCCTGAAACATTTTTTAAATTATTTTTTCCATACTTTATGCTAAAAAACATTCTTTTTTCAAAGATTTATTCAATAATTTAATTTTTGGATATTGTAAAAATGTTTACTGAGATCTTTGATTTTTGAGTAATTAATAATTATTGTAAAATTTAGAAATAGTTAATATTTAAATACTATATTTTTTTATTTTTGCCTTTGAAGTTGCTGTAGGAATAAAAAAATTCAATATTTTTTACATTTTTTTTAAGAAAATAAGATATGTTTTAATAGATGAATTGATAAGATAAAAATATTACTAAGATAATTTACTGTATTTTTTTTCTAAAAGAGATGAATATACTATTTTTATGGAAATAGGTAAACAAACTTACAATTCCAATTAATGATTATAAGTTTAATTCAGATATTTTATTAAGGGTTTCTAAAAATACTCATTTTTTAATTCTTAATTCCCCAATTAATTGTTTAAATTCATTCTAGTATAATTTGCAATACAAAAGTGCTTACTCATAATTCTCTATGGCGGATTAATACTTCTTCATTTCAATTAGCAAATAACCTATTACAATAAAAAAATTATTAACCTTTATTAAAATAGGCTTATGCATAATTAGGATCAAGTTGAATTGCTTGATCATAGCAAACAATTGCATCTTCATCTTCACCAAGATTAGCTAAAGAAATTCCTATTATAGTAACAAAATTAATAACCCTTATTAAAATAGACTTATGCATAATTAGGATCAATTTTGATTGCTTGATCATAGCAAACAATGGCATTTTTATATTCACTAAGATTATTTAACGAATTCCCTTAAATCATAAAGTTTTGAATTACCCTTCACAATATAACCTATACTATATTTTGAATCATAATTTAAAGCTTTATCGATGCATGAAATCGATTAAGAATGTTAATTCAAATCTTATAAAGAAAAGCCTAAATTTTAAAATAAATTATTACTTTTTCTATACAAAGCATGAAGATGTGAAGGTTCATCTTTTAACACTTTTTCACATTACTCAATTGCTAATTTATATTTATTTTCATCATTTAGTGCATAACCTATAGAAATTATAGATTTTATTAACTTTTAGCAATTAATATAAATGAATTTTATGAATTTTTCTAAAGTTCTAAATCTGAATAATCCAATAGATCTCTAAATAAATTACTATTAATCTTCTTTGCTTATTCTCTTAATATCATACCTTTTCCAGGTTGATTCATTTCGATTAAAGAAATACCTTTTATAATAAATATTTTAGAAGTACTTAAAAAGAATGTTGCTAATGATGATTATTTCTCCAATATTTTTAAGTATTCAGTTATTTTATCATTAGCCTCCTACCATTTCTTCTGATTTAATAGTTCTATTCCTAAATTAATTTATAATAAATTGGAATACCTTACTCAAGTGTGATTCCATTATCTTGTATAATAATTTATTATTTCCCTTAATCTTATTCCAAAGCTTGAATCATTCTTTTTATACTTAATAATTAAGTTCCTATAAATATTAATAATGTAAAATACCGATTTAATTCTACTTCATTATCTTTTCTTAATTGTTTGAAAATTGATAACATTCCTTAATCATTTACAGACTATTTTTGATTTATTGATAATCTTATTAATTTAAACTATCAGATATCTTTTATAATGATAGTTTAATGTTCTCCAATTATTTTGTCGATTCTTCATATTTTTTTTTGACTAATGAATATTATTTATTGAATTAGTTAATTAAATCAATTATATACTAATTGAATTTAGTGATAAAATTTTAGATCTAACCAAATCCTTTTAGATCTTTCCTGCAAATTGAATGTTTCATAGGGTCAACTCCACATTAAAGACAAAACTAAGATCTTGAATCTTAGCATCCCAAGTTTAAACAAAATCCTTAGATAACTTCACCTTCGTGTGTAATATCTTAACACATAAATAAACTCTATTATTTCATTAAAATAAATTTTATTTTATTATTGTGATTTTATTTTGACTTAAATCTTAATTTAATTCCATTTAGATAATCAGAATTTTTATGAAAATAGATTTACATATTTTGTGTACTCTAATGGATTTTATATTATGAAATGATAATTATTATAAATATATATAACTAAATATTTAATTTTAAGAAATGAGCAATAAGGTAAAATAAAATGAAAAAAATTAGTTTTTGAGTTCAATTCAACAATTAATTTTCAATTTTAATTAGGCTCAATCATTTATGTTAAAAGAATTTAAATCAATTAGTTTTGGGTAAGAAATATTTCAATTATTAAATTTTATTGTTTTATTATTATATATACTTCTTTTTCAATTAATATCATCATTATGTTTAATGATCCAAAATATTCAAGTTTTCAAACAATATTTCATGAAACAACAATATCATTTAATATTTATTAATATCTCAACAATTAATGCTAATGCTATAGTATGATATTAAATATTTATAATTAAATTTTTTAAGTATCTCTAATTTTGATATTATTATCTATAAGGGATCTGAAGTGAATATTAGAGATAGCATTAATTGTTTAGATTTACTACATATAGCCTTTTTTTTTAGCAAATGTCTTTTGTTTTTATATATAATCTTAGTTGTGGCAATGAAAATGAATGGTCTCCTTTAAGATCTAAATAATGATAAAAAACTTCTTATATTGATTAATTTTTAATGGAACTTTTTTTAAAAAAATGATGAATCTCATATGAATTAAATTACTATTTAAAGTTTGACTTGGATATATAAAATAAAGTGATATATGATACTTATTTTGTAAGTTGAGTTTGATCTTTCACAAAGTTTGGAGGTGTAAATTTATATAAAAATTAAATAATAATTTTAAATTTTTTATAGGATTATATATTTTTATGAATGATCAAATTATATGTTGATCTGGTCCTGAAATTATGGGTTATTGAATTAATGAACCAATATTTCTGAACGAAAAGAATATGAGTGATCCTATTTTTAATAGGAAAGAGTTTAGGAAAAAGAGCTAAGTTTTAAATTCTTGAATCACCTTAACAGAATAGATTGAATTATTATGCCTGTTTAAAGTAAGATTATCCTATATTTCATGTGGAGAGGAATAATTTAATTTAGTAGTAAATTTAACAGCATTAATAGAAAACTCTCGCTCAAAATCTTTAAAATAGAAAAATATCTTGCATGTTAAGTTCCTAAATTGTTTATACTAGTTCTTTATTAATTTCTTTCAAAATAGTTAATTACCTTTCTAATTAGTTTGAGATTAAATCTGCTAGTAGAGTTAACCTGGGTGGAAACAAACTTAAGCTGTAAAACATATTCTTTAACAGGATAATATGTGATTAAAAGATAGTTTGAAGCTATCTAAAAATTATTGTAAAAATAGAGAAAATGAATCAATAAAGATAAGCATCTATAAAATAACTTAATTTAAAAATGATGATCTCCCTAAAAAATTGAATGAATAAAATGGCTCTAGTGATCTTTTCAAATTATAGTAAATAAAACATTATTTCTTAAAAAATACAAATAAAAAAAAATAAATATAGTTAGTTAGTTAGAATAGATTTCTCTAATTATATTCCTAAACTTTGATGAAATATCTAATCTATCAATCTTTGAGGATTTAGAAATTTAACCTTGTTACAAATATTAAAGAATAGTTAATATAGATAATATAATCTTATTAAGAATAAATATAAAAATTATGAATCAATCAATCGCTTTTAATAAATAAAAATAATAGAATCATTATATTTTTTGTTGAATGAATATTTTGAAATATTTTGTTAAATAAAAATATAATTAATTAAAATGTTAAAAATAAAATATATTATTACAGAGGTATATCCTTTTAATAATTTTGATGAAATAGTAAAAGCCATTAGCTTTGACTAATTTGGTTCAGCAAATATAGATTAACTTAAACAATCAGTTAAGTACACAATAAATTCTGGATAATCTATTAGATTAAGAGATTTGATATTTTGGATTGTAAATATAAATTGTAATATATTTTATTAGTAATCCAACTTTATTCGTATTCATTTAGGGTAATTATTGGTTTTATTCCTAAAACTTTTGGAAAAAGTATAATTTTTAGAGGCAAATGGAATTAAACATAATTATCTTGATTTTAATAGAATTTGGCTCCATCTAACTTAAAAGAGTCAATATCCAAGTCTAATCTATTAATTTTTAGATTATTCAATTCATTTTACTGGATATGACTGTCCCTTTTATGAAAAAACAAATGATTCAGGTATCACAGAAGCATCATAGAAAATTAAAGAAATCATAAAATTTATTATCACCTTATGTTTTGATCAAATTATTTTTCTACGAACTAACAAGAATACAAGAAATTCCTATTATTAAGAGTTATTGTAACCAATAGTAAATTTATGTTAGCCAAATTCAACTACTCAATAAATTATATAAATTATTCAAAAAAATTTATCTGCATTTAATTATTAAGAAAATCTTTAGAATAATTGCTTCTAATGTTTAAATATAGATGATAAAATAAATGATTATATTGAATCTCCAAGATATGAAATTATTCCTAAAATTAACAAAGATTTAGAATAAATTATTGAATTTGGAAATGCATTTGGATAAGTTGTAGTTGAATCTATATTGTTATATTATATTCCAATATTCGGTAAAAATTTAGTATCTTATTCAATAACTGACTATTTAGTTAAAGTTTAACAATAATACAATATTATATCATAGAGAGAAAAAAAAATAAGAGATTCAATCAAAGAATAAGTTATAAAGACCTTTGAGTATTTTTTATTAGAAAAATATGAAAATAAATATAAATTTTAAATAACAAAAGAAGAAAAAGATTCAATTAATAAAGATATTATTGATTCAATCATTGAATCTGCATAATTTTAATACTTTAATAATTCATATTGGTTACATATAAATAATGAAGAAATTGAAAATCTAATATTAGTATCAATTAGCGAAATTTTAATCTAATAAGTGCAAGATTAAATTGATCTATTTCTTATGTACAAAATATTGGTATTGATTGATGAATTAATATGACAAAGATATGGTAAAATATTTATAATATTATGTTTTAAAATCATTAAAAAAAATTATCAAACTCATATGATATAATCCTATTGATCTAGACTTTAACTTGTATAGGTATTTGTAAATATTTGAGTTTGAATTTTTCATCTTTTTAATATAATTGAAGATTGGTTCATTTATTATTTGATGTTATTATTATAAAACATAATTGTTTGAATCACAAAAAATATCTGAATTGATTTTATTAAAATTACAATAAATTTACACAATTGCAGACATCTCCTTTTGCTTGCTCAAAAACTAGAATTTAACTTTATATTATTATTTTATATATTATATGGTTAAATTCAAATTCATTTTTTTTCATTTTTAATCAATTTTTTAAATCTACTAAAATCATTTACATATTTATATCTAAAAATATTATTTATGATTTATCCTTTGGGTAAAGATTTTGTTTAGTTTGATTTGATTTTATAAGTTAAACAAATATAGGGAAGTATCTTTGTTATAATGTTATTGATTTTTTAAATTCATGCACCTTTGAGTTAAGAAATTAAAAATTTATCAATAATCTTTAGTAGCCTTTTAATTTTTTAATTGCTATGATTCAATTTTTTTTTAATAAGTCTTGCATATTTTTTTATCTCCTAATGATAATAATAATATCTTAATAAAATTTTTAATTTTAATTTCTTCATTCTGAAGCTTAAAGATCTCAATTATTTTTGATGAATTATAATTTCAAATCTAAATCATATAAAGTTATTTTAGTTGGAGATTTCAGGCATCTAGTGGATTTTTGACATTCATTATCTAAACCTTGAAATTATTAGAGTGAAAATCAAATTTTTAAGTTTCAATAATTTCTCTAAAGTAAAACTTTTAAAATACAAATTAATCAAGATATTTAAAAGATAAGAAATAGTTAACATGACAAATAATTTATTTAATAAATAAAAGTACTAACCAAATTTTGAAGATCTAAATATTTAAAAATGAATTTTAATCATTTTAAATGAATATTTAAGTCTTGAAAAATACATACATAATTTAAAACTTCTATAGTGTATAACAAATGTAACTATTAAAATAATATAAAGTAATAATCAAACTATTCATGTTTAATTGATCATCAAATAATATGTGTGATTGATCTTTATCAGAAATTCATCAATTTATAATTTTTATCCAAATAAATACAAAACATTATTATATTTTAAATGAAAAAATAATACTCATAAATGTAGCAAGAAATTAATGATAAAAGTAAATTTAAGTCTCTATCTATTACTTTAGATTAAGAACAAATTTAAATGAATAAAGAATAAAATCATGATAAAAATAATAAAAAGGAGCTTGACTAATAAGAATTTAGAAAAGAAATTTAATCTAAAATTGATGATTTAAATAACATTAACATTTAGCAGACAAAATTAGAAAAATCAAAAAAGAACAACGATTTAAAATAAAGAGACAAAGCCTCTAAAGAATATTTTCAGAAAGGTATTAAATTTTATAAATTAGGTTTATAATTAACACGCCTTCAAAATTACAAGGAAGCTATTGAAATGTATAATAAAGTAATCATAATAAATCCAAAATATTATCCTGCTTTAAATAATAAAGGTTGCAAAGTATTATTTATTTAGGGTTATTACTATCAAGATTAAATTAATATGAAGAAGCGTTGATATATTTTGAAGAAACTATACTGTTATAACCTAATAATCATTAAGTATATAATAATTAAGGTATAAGAATATAATCAAAAATCTTAGGACTTGCATTAACAAAACTAAAGAGATATGAAGAAGCAATAAATAGTTTTAATCAAGCAATTTTTCTAAATCCTAATAATTGGAAAGCTTTTCTCAATAAAGGTATTTATGATTATTATTATTACTTGGTTATGCTTTGGAAAATTTGAATTAATCAGATCAATCTCTAGAATGTTATGATAAGGCTATATAACTAAATCCTCATTCTGATGAAGCATATTACAATAAAGGTTCTATAATTAAAAATGATTAGGCTCTTTATTAAGAAAACTAGATCGTTATTAAGAAGCTTTGGAGTTCTTAAATAAGGCCATTCAAATTAATCATAAAAGTGATATCGCTTTAACCAACAAAGGTATTTAAGTATTCAATTTAAGGACTTACTTTAATTAAATTGAATTAATGGGAGGCAGCTGTTCAAATTTTTGATTAAGCACTACAAATTAATTCAAAAAATTACAAAGCTGTACTTAATAAAGGTTAATTTTTATTAAAAACTTAGGTTTTGCATTACTTAATCTTTTCCAATACGATTAAGCAGATGAATAATTTAACAAAGCTCTTAAATTAAATCCAAATTATGATAAAGCCTATTTAAACAAAGGTTAGAGTATCTTAATATAAGGTGTTCTGCTAAATAGATTATCTTAATTTGAAGAAGCCATAAAAAACTTTGATAAGGCTATTGCAATCAACTCTAAATATGCAGAAGCCTATTTTAATAAAGGTGATGATAATTGATATACTTTATTTAGGTATTGCATTATAATCCTAAGAATTGCATTAAGAAGCAATAACATTATTTGACATAGCATTAGAAATATCTCCCAAACTAAATTTTAAAAGATAAAAAGGTTTTACTTATCATGATAAAATTAGCCATTTCTTTATTTTTTGTAAATAAATTCACAATGGTTAAATATTATATGCTAGAATTAGGATTCTCCTAAAAAGATATAATAACTTATCTAAGAAATAAAAAATGAGATAAAATTATAATATACAATTTGTGTTTTTACAAAATTAATTAAAAATTTACCTTTATTTCTAGTTAATTTAATAATTTTATAGAATTTTTTATATTTAAATTTTATTATTTTATCAATTAGTTTCTTTTGGGTGGATTTATAATTTTTATTCTAAAATTCCTCATAAAAAAGGATCCTTTTTAGCAATAATTGGAGAAACTCGATTAATTAATCGTATGAATAGAACAGTAAATACAGTTTATTAAGCATTATTTTAATTGCTTAATGGCAATGAAATGATATTTATATGAATCCAGATTTTTTCCTGTCATATCAAAGTTTTGACTACTTTTCTAAAGATTAATTAAAGAAATTGTGATTGACTAAAAATTCAACTATTAATTAAACTAAAGGAAATCATGAAGGGAGAATAATAAAATACATGGATAAATATAATTATTTCTTAAATATAGATTTAATTAAGTATTCTATTTTTTAATTCATAACGTCAATTTTTTTGACCATGTTAATGGATTATATATTCTAATTTTTTAAATTGAATAAAGTACAATCTTAAAATTTTGATAATTAACATTAAATTTATAACAAGATTTTCAATAATAGTTATTTTTACTTTTTTTTCAAAATTTTTAATGATTGTTATCCTTCATTAAATAGGTTCAAAATTAAAAAATTGAATTCTTAATCTTCAATACTAAAAATAAGAAATAATTGTAGACCTAAGATCATTATATAATAAAAGAATGATCGGCAACACTTTCAACTTAGTGAGGATTAACCTAATTTGTTACATTAATTTTTGAGAATGAATATTGAAATACAGTGTGAACAAAATATTAAATGGCTGCTCCATTAAATGAAGTTTAATAAGATGAATTTCAGAATTAAAATTCTCTTCCTGTCCAAATACAGCTATAGTTTCCTCATCTACTTACCAGTTGAATAACTTGACTTATGAAAAAATATTATCATAGTCATATTTGACAACAGGTGTTAATTCAAAATTTGTTTAAGAATCATAATATAGAGGTAAAACTCTTATGGTGTAATGGCAGAGATTATTATTTGAGTACTACTTTTCTAAATCTTTGATATCAAATATTTAATTTATTTCTCTTAACAATCAATAAAGAAAACTCGAAATTCTAAATATAAAATGATATTACTTTCTAAAAATATCTCTCTAGTTTTTTCATTACTTTTAATGTCTATTTAGTAACTTGATTTAAACACTAATTTAGGATTAATTTAATTCGTATTCAATCCTAATAATTTCTTTTGAAGATCTGTGGAATCATGAATTATTAAACACTATTAAAAATTCAAAAATTTTGCTTTTTGTAAATTCCATTCCAAAATAAATAGAAGCTAATTTCTGTTTTACAGAGATTATTTTATCTATAAAATTGCCTTTGACAGATGTTTTTAACTTAATTTCTATTATTTTGAGAATCTCTTCTTGATTTAAATCTTATTGGATCATTTTTTAATAGAAAAATAATATAATAAAATATAAATAATATTGTGATTTTACAAAAAGGAATTAACATAGTAATTCAGCTCAAACTTCTTTGTTAGTCTTAATAGTATTTTAAGATTCTATTAAAGTATAATATATTAGAGTAATTTTTAGTTTCTTATTTATTGATTATTTTTTGATGTATTTGATTCTAATATTAGTAATATAATTAAAATTATTTTTATGGTTATTAGTTTAATAGTTATTATATTTCGCCATTATTTGGAGATACAACATTAATAATTGTCTATAGTTGAAACCCACAAGAAAGTTTTCAATCAAATCCGCTCTTATATTTTATAACATATTAAATTTTTTATTCTATTATATGATGAGAGATGAAGATTTATTTTTTCATATTACATAATATATAAATTCTGAAAAATGTACATAACAAATAAATAAATAAACTTCAATTACTTTGTATAGAGATTTCTATAACATTAATGGTTTATTGATAATCTTCTTTTTAATATTTTTCTTTATATTAAACTATTGAATGGTTTCATTAAATTAGAATATGGTTAGCTCTGAAATTAGTATAAATTTATTTTCTATTGAAGGTAATTTGTAAATAAATGATATTTTCCAATTTTTTACTTAAAGACAATTAGAAATAATAATTAATAGATCTTATCAAAAAGAACTCTAAGCTACAAAAATTTATCTAATAAATCAAATATAATGTCTACATATAATTTTCATAGATAAACATTTTCTATCTTTATCAAAATATCCATATTTTTAACAGTTTATCCCAATATTAAATCAATCCAATCCATAATTCATTATAATTGTATACTCATTTATCAGTTATTAACAAATAGTAAATATTTTAATTTTTAAAGCATTTTTTCATTATTTTTTTTTTTAATTCTCAAATGTTTACATAATACTCAATTCTTTTCAAATCAATTAATATTATTTTCACATAAACTTAAATATTTATATAAATATCTTTTTATTCATCAGAGAATATATTTAAAATCTAAAATCTAGAATTCCAATTAATAAGATGTGCAGAAAAATTATATTCACAATATTATTTTAAGAAATACATTGATATCATAAGATTTCTTGATAAAATGATTTAAATTAAAAGATCCAATAGAGACTTTAAAATATATGTATTCAATCATTAGTTGTTTCATACTCTATGATTCTCATTCATAAAATTTATGAGCTCACTTTGGAGGTTAAATTATTTAAGAAAAAATTAAACAGGTTCTTAATTTCAAGAAAATATTATTCTTAAAATAAAATTGATTAGAAATTATGAAAAATTTTCTGGACCAACTTGAGAAATTAGACATTTTTGGTGTTCCAATAAGTCTTTTAACTAATAAGGAAAATGAAAAATTTTAAAGTAAACTTGGTGGCATTACAACAATTGTCGTAAGCAGTCTAAGCCTTATTTATTTTTTGTATATATTCGTTTTATGGAATAATAATTAACTAGCACCAACAATAAGCTCAAAATAAGAAATATTAGGGTATGCTGAATTTGAATTAAAAGAATCAGTCATTGAAATATAATTGTTAGATTTTCTTGGTGACATTGATCCTTTTAAAAAAGAGAATAATATCATAACTCCTCTTTTATTCACATTTATAAATACTTCAATATTAGAAGAACCAATACCTTTGTTTTCAAGTGAAGATCAACCATATCGAATTCAATTAAAAAACCTTACTATAGTATTAAATTCATTGTCAAATTAAGATTAAATGAATTAGTAACAGAGATAATATTCAATTGTTTTAGCTAGATGTTCATAAGATTATGCTATTTTTGGAAGTTATTGTGCAGATGAAAATACTATTAATGATTATTTATCAAGATTTCATGGATTCTTGTATATAAATATATATTTAAGTAAATTAAATATAGTCACAAAAGAATTTGAATAGTTAAAAAAATAATATTATACAGGTTTTGATGCTAACAAACCTTTTTACTCTCAAATTATGTTGAAATAACAAAAAACTATTATTGATGATGGAATTTTATTCAATAATTACGAAGAATATAATTTTTTAAATAATTATGAGATAATCAGTTAAGAAACTGACTTAAAATTTGCAGCTAAAGTAATTAATTTAACTTCAAATTTTTCTTATGATTTTGATAGTTATGGTTGTTATCTTTTTAGAATAGACAATATATCAATTATTGAAGAAGTTTCCTACCCAAAATTAGGATAAGTTTTAGCTTAAATTGGTTCAATAATCCAATTAATATTTTTATTAAAGCATATAATAATATATTATAACAATCTATTATTAGAAAATTTATTATTCAATTCTATTATAAAGATGTATTACCCAGAATTTAAAGAATATAAATTCAACTTATTAAATTAAATTCAAATTTCAAATAAGAATATCAATAATATTTAAATTCCATTTCATATCCTAACTAAAATGCATTAAGCTTTACTAAAAGGAGCCAGAAAAAAATGCAGATTAATTAATGTATTATATGAAATTTCAAGAATTTAATTTATTTTACAGGAAAAATTTGGAGATTAATTCTTATTTTAAAGTCATTAAATGGGTTCAAAGTTAGTTTATAAAGAAATAGAATAAGATAATTAAAGAAAATCAAATCGGTTATAAATTAAACCTTTTGATTCTATGGAAATAGAAAATCAATCCCTATGTATAGAATAATTAGAATTGTTGATTCAATAATAATGATAAGAATGATATAATTATATCTATATAAAATATTTCATAAAAAATCAAATTTATTTAATTTAAAATTTGATGTTATTTCATAAATTTAATGAAATTAAAAATAATAATAAAGGATTTCAATTTTTCTTAATCAAGTTTACCACACTTATACTATCCATTTTTCTAAATGTTATTTAAGAATAATTCAGAATTGAATTTTTATAAATTTAAATTTAAGTGTTTGCAAATAGTATTTTAATTTAAAAATAATACTATGATTATGATAGTATATTTTGTTTTTTCATATATAAATTCCATAAAAATTCATAAAATCGAATCTAACTTGGATTATTAAAACATTTGTTTTTTTGAATAAATCAGATTTACTAATTGCTTATAATAAGTTAACAGTATTTAATATATTTCAAAAAAGTTTAAGTTAATTTAGACAGTTTCCATTAGTAAGTTAAAGATAAAATCAATTAGCACTATTTATATTTTTATGTTATATAATGATCTTGAATTGCTATTCTTATGTTACTCAAAAGTATTATCACATTTATTTAATATATCTTCTTAAGTAAATAGGGATGGTGATAAATTAAAATGATTAAATATTCTTTGATAAATTGATTCATTAAAAGGGAATTTTTTTTCTTAAATTAAATTAATTCTATAATTTCATTACTATTCATTTCTACATCTAATTTCCTTCTATCTAATATATAATTTAGTTTGCCATTTTCCAATTCAGAACACCAAGATAAAAAATTGGGATTAAAAGTCCAAACAAAAAGTAGTAAACATGGAAAACATTCAAAAAATATAATATAAAATATTTATCTAAAACAGGACCAAGGTTCAAAGATTAGTATTATAAAGGCATATTTTTTAAGAATCAAAGCTCTTTCCTTAATCATAAAATAATCTGAGCATAAGAAAAAAAATTTAAGATCTTTTGAAATATTACAAGATTATATCGAAGAATTTTATATTAATCACAATTATCAGGTAGATGAAGGAAATTAATTATAATAATAATGCATGGTAATAGAGTTTGCTATTTATTATAGATTGAACAAATAGAAAATAATAATTATAGAATATATTTCAAGATTGAATATTATATTGGGATAGTAAATTTCTAAAATTTTAGATTTTTCAACAGGGTTTTTATTATATAACTTTTTAAAAGTTTACTTATTTTAGGATGGTTTCATTTTCTGTAGCAGACTTTTCTTCAGTATCAATAGAAATAATTAGAGAAAATTCAATAATTTGCTCTAACCACATATATAAGAATTATACCTATATGGTTTTCTTGCGATTGCAAAATAGTGAATATCATTGAATAATTAATTTAGCATTTCATAATATATCCCCAAATTTTTTCAAAATAAAATATATACTCATATATCTTAATAGGGTAATAATAAAGATTTATGATTTTATTTAAAAAGTAATAAAATTTGTCTGATTTTTACTTTTCACTCAAATACTGCCCAGAATTGTAAATTTAATCGTCTGGATTTTTAAACCTTCATCTAACATAATTTAATAATTTTGAAAAAAAAATATATGGTTCTTGGTGTAGATTACTTTTTTTTATTTATTGATTTGCAATAATTGAAGAAGCATTTAAATAAATTCTTAAAATAACCAACTAATCATCAATACAGTTTTTACAACTATTAGTACATTTTAGTAAGATCGAAAAAGAATTATTTTTTAATGTTATTTTCTATTAAATTTCTCATTGATATTTCTCTTTCAAATTTCATATAAAAACTTAATCTCTAATAGTTATATTATCATGAGAAAAGATCCTTAATTAGTGATAATCATTAGAAAAAGTTATAAAACAGTCATTTTTAATTTAAATAAATAAATAAATAGACAATACTATTTCCTTATGGAAATCCTAAATATTCCATTAATCTTTCTTATTTTGAGGTTTAATGATTCATCTTCAAATATATTTCTTCTCTGATTAAAACAAATTTAGTCAAAGAATTCTTACAATTTTGATTTTTCTTCTTTTTATAACCATTTTAGTTGAGAGCTTCATTATTTACTAATTTAGAAAAATTAAAGCATCTCTTATGGTAAAAGATGGGGAAATTGATAACTATTTTGAAAAGTGCGACTTTAAATGATGATGAAAGATGTGATAGCATAAAGATTAGAATGTGGATTGAGTTGAATGATTTGTTTAATAATCAAAAAAAAATACATTACTTGTATACACTAAAATTTTTAATCACTCTAAGAAATTCTAATAAGTTAATTATTTATTAACAAACAAATTTTTTTAATGAAAAAATATAATCAAACCTAAATCCTAATAAGAGTATAGATAATAGTAGAGATTCTAGTAGTTCTAGAGGATAAAAGACTGACTTATACATCTTATAAGGGTATCCATATAACTAAAAATGGAACTGTATAGATAGGCCTTTGAAGTTGAAGACTCTAACCGAGAATCTTTGGCATGAGTAGATTTCTAACTGACAAATGAATTTTAGACCTAAAAGCCCTAGATTAATAATCATTTAATCTATGCTAGCTGTAAAAGAGTGGAATAAACCCCTAATACTTGATCATGACATAAATTTTAACGATAAAAACCTTTTGAACAAATTCAATATATCTAAAAAGTACTCGAGATATTCTTTTAGAATTCTGAAAGATTGAAAAATAATATCAGATTAATTTTTGATAAAATTAATTACCTAAGGATACTATCTAAGATAAATATATTAAAGTGGTGATAATGAAGATAAGTAAGGCCGGAAAGTGTTTGTTCATGCTTTTAGTGTCTTCCCTTGTACTAGTACGTTGCCTGTCCCGATTTTGGTTCTTGAAAATTTAAAGGCTATTGGCTCGTTTCATTTGTTTAGATGAGGAAATAATATTCTCCTTATTATTATTTAAAGCCCTTAGGTAGTTTCTGTAATGGAAGTTTGTGTGGTAGAGATAAGTTATGATCTTCTTGCCTAGGTTAATTGGAGAAATAACTTAATAAAGAAATTCAGAGAAGATGAAAACTAGATCTACAACTAGTACCCTATGAGTTGATAAGAAGTGTGATTGGTAATAAAATAAGTTCAAACAAAAAGTAACTGGTTAAGAAAATTAAATATTAACGAAAAAAGAATAATAATTATAAGAATAACTAATATAATCCTAAAAAATATATGAAGTATCAGATGAACTAATATATGAATAGAATAGTATTTTAAAAGAAATAATCATAACCATTTAAATGGATAGAAGTTATTACATATATTTTTACTTCAATTATGATTTTAGCTTCATTGAATCATATCTACTTAATAAAGAGGATAATATAAGACCATGGTGGTAGAATACTGAAAAGGTAAAATTTGAAAGGAGTTATAATATATAGATTACTCCTTTTGGGGATCTAATCAATAAACTGAAGATAAAGGTAGAATGAGAGATTTTACTTTATTCGCGCTTTATGATAAGATCTTCTCATTTCAAGAGAGACATTCTAATATATTTTCTACCTTGGAATAGACTTTTATTAACATACTTCTGAAGCTCTTTTTTCTCTTGAATCTCCTAAAGATGCCCCTTGGTAGGTGGAGGTTCCAAATTAAATGGTGGAAGTAGAGTACCTAAATCAATTGTATATCTAATTGTAAAATATTCGACCATTCGATAAATTTTTACAATATAAAGTTAAAAATATTCAATTGTTTTATGTGTGTTCTTTAGATTATTGGTGTCTAAGAGAGGGAATAAGAAATCCAATTCATATATAGTTTACCTTGGACATAAATATAGTGTGATTTCGGTTATTAATAATAACCCAGATACCTATGTTATTAAGTTTTTCACTAACCAAACTTGCTAGTATGAAATCAAGAGCTTTAATGAGAACTATCCTGTTTAATTGTGTAAAATTGAATATGATAGTTCTTGTTGTTAGGTACTGTAATTAGTGTAGTTTTTTAACTAATGAGCCTTCTGAAGATTCTAGAATTTGATTTGAACCAGACAGTTTTCTGGGCAGAGTATAAAATAAAACCATAAATTGATTCCAGATGATTTTCATTATTCGTAATATTTAAATTATTATTATTATTATTATTATTATTATTATTATTATTATATATCTAAATAAAGTCTGAAGCATAACAATTTTTAAGAAAAAAACCTCAATAAAAAATGTGGTTGGATAAGAAAAATCTCATAAAGAATTCCTAGAAACCTAAAATATACTGGATAACTTCTTATTATTACATAATTATTTCTTTCATGATCTATTTAAAAATACTAGGTAATTGAAAAAATCTGCAGTTTTAAAGAAAGGAAAGGGAAATTTACAAAGATATATGTTAAAGTATTATCTTAGGTAAAACATAAGAATTGAAAAGTTAAAATCAATGAAGGAAAACCACAATTAAGAATTTTGCTTAAAAAAAGTGTGATAACATTTCAAAACTTTTAGTAAAGAAAATGATGGAGATTAATGCGAATATTGGGTAAACATGTCTCTTATGTGATAAATTCGAAATTTATAATTGAAAAAAGATTCGATTAATCTTTGAATATTATTTAATAATAAATTAAATCAGAAGATTAAAAAAAAAGTGTAATGTAAAATATTGTGATAAAGAACATAAATATGATAATAGTAAAAACTAAAAATAATAAAATTTAATAAGAATAATGTAACATAGCGAAGGCCCAATATTTAGAAATCTTATATTATTAATCAACTTAAAAGAAATATACTTCCAGACTAATATAGAAACAAAACTTTAAAGATTGTATTTTCCATTTGTGATTCTTTTTTCTTTCAATTTGATTTTGTTAATTTCTTCTATTATCAATTTTCTTACTCTATTAAATTTCTAATCGCTTGTTTTAGTCAATTCAAAATTAGAGGCTCAGCCTTTTCTGATTACAATGGCAAAAAAATTAAATACATTTTATCTTGTTTTAAAGCATTAAAGGTTATTAATTGATAAAACTAATGCTTTTTTTATTATCAAATGAAATCAATTTTAGCTCTTAAAATAAGATATAATTTTTTAGCACAATTATTAAAACCCAATTATAATTTAGTTTCATTAACATATGATTAACTTTTTCCAAATATTTTATCCCCTCTCCAAATTGATTAGTAAATTTTATATGCTTAAATGCAATTCTTCTCTCATCCTATCATATATAAACATTCAAAAATCTGAAATAATAATTAATGGTTATAATAAAATGAAATAATAAAATTAATAAAATTAAATTAATGCATGTAATTAATATAATTTCTATGATTTGGATGCATTTTTATAAGTAATAATCATAATAATTCAAAATTAAAAGAGAGATTCATGAAAACAAAAATGAAATCTATTACAAGGATAAGAGAAAGAATGAAAATAAACTTAATTCAATATATCTAATCAAATAATTTAGATTAAGATTTAATCAGATAATTAAGGTCTCCAATGCTTTATTATTTATAACTTAATACATTTTGTAAAATTCTTTTTTAATTTAGCTACAAAATTCACCCAGTCCAAAACTTCTAGAATTTTAAAATAAACTATAAAATATGGTTAATCTTTTTTCTCAAAGATTAAAAATTGAGGAATGTAACCTTCTCAAAGAATGGCTAACAAAACTCAGAATTTTCAGTAAATGATCATTCTATTTAAATCTCAGTAGATTTAACAAATCTCATATGGAATTGATTTAAATAACGATATAAATTATATAATTTTGTAAAAATTGAGAGAGAACTCACAATAAATTTATTATTAATTTTATTTTACCATTCATCTTTTTAACATAAATTGATAATTGATTAAAAGATATATTAAATATATATAGAAATATTAAATTTTAAGAAAAAAGGAGGAAGATTTTATTTTTAGAATTCAATTTTAATTCATATTGATTAATCATCAACATATATAAAATTATATTTTCTACAAAAATTACTTAATAATTGTTGATGAAATCAATTTCTAATTTTATTATCATTTTAGGATACACCTTATATAAAAAAGATTATTTATTTGTTAATATTTGAGGCCTTGCTAAGATGGTAGAAATGCAATTAATTTTTTAAACAAAAAAATAACATTAAAATTCAATGATTTACTAAAAGGTAGCATTTTAGAATCAAATACACAAAGAGATTAAAATAAATAAGTGGGATTAAATCTAATTGTAAATTGCAAAGATATCAATTGATATCTTATATACACAAGATAATAAAATCTTATACTTACAGAATGGGGAAATTTTAAGAAAGTAAAAACATTTATTATTGATTAGTGAATTTTTATATGATGATTAACAGGATCCAGATTTATTGATAAGTATGAAATAAATCAAAAATCTTTAATGGTAAGGTAAGATTGAAAAAAACAAAAAAAAAATGGGAAAGTGGATGGCTGTTTGGAATGGGGAAGCTCTTATAGACTTTTGTGGATATTATGAATTAGGGTTAAAGCAAGGCCTATGGAAAGAATTAAATAAGAATTATTGGAGGTATATATTTATTAAGTAATTTTAATTAGTCAAGCAAAAATATCAGAAAGTGGAGAATATTTTAATAATTAAAAAATTGGTGCATGGATATATTTATATGAAAATAAAAAGATGTTATATTATTTATAAATTAATTAGTGGAGGTGGATCCTACAATTCACAAGGTTTGAAGCATGGTAAATGGATTGATCTGTGTGATTGGTTTTACGACTATTCATAAATAACTTTTTAAGGTGAATATAAAAACGGTAAAAAGATTGGTTAATGGGATTTTTACTGGAATTGGAACTAAAAAAATCGATAAATGTAAAAATTATTACAAACATATTTAGAGGTGGTGGTTATTATGGAGATGATGAAATTAAAACTGGAAGATGGATAGAGCTAAATGATAGTTTTAGCTGGGTTTCATAAGTCACTTATAATGGTGAATATAAAAATGGTATAAAAGTTGGTAGATGGGATATTTGGTATAAGAAGAATTATGGAACAAATTAGAATATATAGTTGTAAAATTATATGATTAGATATTATGTATAAATCTTTAGTGGAGGCGGTTTATATGATGAAGGAAATAAAAAAGGGAGATGGATTGAAATTAGTGATAATTTTGATGGTGGATAATAAATGACTTATAATGGTGAATATAAATAAGGTAAAAAGGTTTGTCAATGGGATATTTTATGGAATTTTTATCATTAATAATATAGATTGATGTAAATTTAAATTATTAAGAGTTTTATGTACAAATATTGTTAGGGGCGGTGGATTACATGATAATGGAATTAAAATTGGAAAATGGGTTGAGATAAGTTAGGGGTTTAAGATGTCTTCACAAATCACTTATATAGGTGAATACAAGAACGGTTCAAAATTTGGTAGATGGGATACTTATTGGGATTGGAATAAAAATTTCCAGATGTAAAATAATAATTTTATAAACATGTGAGTGGTGGCGGATCGTATGATAATGCAGGTTATGGGTTAAAAATTGGGAAATGGGTTGACTTAAGCGATGAGTATGAAGGTGTTTAGCAAGTAATTTATAATGGTGAATATCAAAATGGTTAAAAGGTTGGTATATGGGATATATAATATAGGGAGACTGTAAAAGATACTCTGTAAAATATGTAAAATTCAATATTATGCTTATAAATATTTTAGTGGAGGTGGGCTATTTGATGAAGGGATTAAAATAGGGAGATGGTAAGATTTAAGTGATGGATTTAGAATTGTTTCTTAAATTACTTATGATGGTTAATATTAAAACGGTAAAAAAGTTGGTAGATGGGATATTTATTGGAGGCATTAAAAAGAAAATAAATAAATGTAAAAAATACTATTAAATAATATTTAAATACTCTAGTGGCGGTGGATCATATGATGAGGAAGGTGTTAAGGCTGGTCAATGGATAGAGTTGATTGAAGGATTTTAAAATGCTATTTAAATAACTTATTAAGGCGAATATAAAAATGGTAATAAAGTAGGTAGATGGTAATTTTTATGGAATAATAATGGAGAAAATAAATAAATGTAAATATAAACTATTAATTATATTTTAAATTTTCTAGTGGTGGGGGATCATATGGTGAAAAAGGTGATGGAGTTAAGGTTGGCAAATGGGTTGATTTATGTGAGGGATTTTGGAATAGCAAATAAATAGCCTATAAAGGCAAATATTAAAATGGTAAAAAAGTTGATAAATGGGTTGAATTAAGAAGAGAATGGAATTAAAATGAATTTTAAAAAATTGGGGAATTGAAATATTATTCATGAACATTAATAATTTTAGAATATATTGTTATTTTTTGTATTTTGGAGGTTGGTTATTTATTATTTGGAGATGGAGTTTGTATAAGTGTTAAGATACATTATATTTAATATAAATCTTTTTTTATATTTCTGACTATTTAAAAACAAGTGTTAATTTAATTTTTGTTATTTTGTTTGGATTGGACTAATTTCTACAAATATATGATTTTAGAGATAAGAGAATATTAAAACATAAAAATAATTTGCTTGCCTTTTATACAACAAATGATTATGATTGATAAAGTTTTGATTTTGAATCAAATAATATGATTTTAAAGTTGTACTAGTTAAAATTTTGGGTATTTAAATATTCTTATCATCAATCCACATTAAATAGAAAGGGTATTCTTCACTTCCTATTGTGTAAACCAATTAAAACATTGAGTATTCAAATTAACATAATATTTTTAATTTTACTTTTTTGAAAAACAGTTGATTAATTTTTTAAAGTTATTTTTAGTTTTCTCTATTGAAATTTAGTATTAAAATATATTTTTACAAAGATGATATTTTATTTAATTACTTCCAAATAATTTTAATAATATGTTAGAATATAATGATTTGAATTATCGTCTAATAATATTATACGATTTAAGCAAATTTTTTAAAACTACTTTTCAATCTTTTAATTTTACTTACTTAGAATTAGATATTAAATATAATTAAAAATCAAGTACTAGTATATATTTAGATTATGAATAATTAATTATATTATTTTTTTTAAAGATAAGTGAAATATATTTAAATAAAAGAAATATTAATTGTTGATCTATAAAGTATTATCTTAAATTTTAATTATAATGATCCTACCCAACTAGATATAGATGAGTATAATCTTCCAAGTTAAAATAGAAAGGATTATGGTTTTAAAGTAGTTAGGAAAGACTATTAGTAATCAAATTTTTTCCTTTTTTTTTTGTAGCAAAATTAATACCATAAGGAAAATCAAAATTCTCAAAAAATTTATAATAATTAGAATTGTAAATTTTTTATCTTTATTTTTATTGAATTTTCCTAACTTTACATATTAACTTTCTAATTATAGATATAATAAAGTGTTTAGGAAAATATAAAAGATTGTAATGTATTATATCCTATAAATGTATTCCTACTAGAATCCAACTTGTAAGAAGAGTATCCTCCAAAGATATAAATAATATTATATTTAAAATCATGACCTTATTCTCTACAAAAATATTCTGCCGCATTTTGATGATATATATATTTATCTTGGTAAGAAAATAAGATGAAAATTACAAGAATGATCAGTAGGAGATTCAGAATCAAAGTATGTCTTTTCTGTTGATTGGATCAATAGAATATAAATATTAAATTTAATGAGTTTACAATAAAATAAATTAACACTTGTTAGATCTCTATTAATTACTTAGTATTTAGTTATTATTATTTACTCATATGTTATGTGGTTTAAATTGAATAGATTTTGAGATAAAATTTGATTAAATATCTTCTTAATCAACACATTTTCAAATCATGAAATTTTTGATAAAATCTAAAAAAAATTTGAAAATTCATATTTTGAATAAATTTGGAGAAAGTCCTTATCTTACCCTTTATTCATTACATTATTTGGCATAAATTTCATATAATAATATAAAATTATTGAATTTAAAAAAAATAAAAATCAAATATTCATAATTCTTAATACTTTCTAATTTAAATTTCGAATGATCCTTTTTTTCCTCCATCCCAAGTGATTAAAAACTCTCCATCATCACTTAAACATCCTTGTATCTAATAATCATTAAACTAAATTGATTAATCTAAAATAAAATTATCATTTTCCTATTTTGATAAAATATTCACAGTTCTTCCATTTTTATTCACAAGTATTTTTTTCTCTTTAATGAAATTTTATGGAAAAAATCCATAACATTATGTTGAATTATTCTTTATATAAATATTCTTTGTTTTTCTAAAAATCTAATTAGTATCATATTTCTAATATAGACTCAAATATTCTTTGCAATAAAATTAAAAAGTAAAGAGTAAATCATTAATCCAGCATAACCTAAAACCATCTCCCTCAATTTTTTAAATTAAATTCCACTTGCTATTTTAACTGTTATCTTTTATCAATTTATATATAATTACTAATTTATCATACCCAGATGAAAGCAGTTAATTGCCATTTTCATTAATATTTAAAGCCCAAACAAAATCTTTATGGTCAGTTATTGTCTATATGCATGACCAACCATTCTAAAGTTTCCAAATTTGTATAATGCTGCTTCCAGAAATAATTTATTCTTCTTTTTCATTCAAAATGAGACTTAAGATTTATCCATCTTTTCCTTTTTATTTATTGATGTATTTTTTAGAATTTCCATTAATCAAAGACCAAAGAATTATCTGTTTATCCTCACTTCCAGTTATCATATAGCTCGGCTTTTTGAAAAAGTTTATTGTATTTATATCTTGTGTGTGTGCTTTATAGGTTTAAAGTAATTTAAGCATTTGCTATTAAAATTAGTATATCCTTAATTTGTTTTTACAACCTATAATCACTATACGATTATCAGAGCTAATGGCAATTGCTCCACACCATTAATTTTATTTGATTTTACATTCTTAAATCAATTCATACTTTTTCAATTTCTAAGTTTATTCTGTTTAATTTACATCTATTTCATTATATTATTTTAACATTATTTTATGATCATATCAATTAAAGATTATAACATCTAAATAATATAATTTCGATTAAAATGATGGAAAAAGCATGAAGAGAAAATAATCTTAAAATAATGCTTTCTAAAATCAACTCTTAAATACATTAGAAAATAATTTAACATTTCAAAAAATAATTATCCACAGTATTATAGAATGTTAACATTGAGAAATGATTGTTAATATATTATAAAAATAATTAAATTAGCTATCAAAAGGAATTTGTACAAATAATAAAATTTACCATTTTTTTTAATGAAAAAGAGAAAATCATATTATTAAATAAATCTTCTCTTCTAAAAAATTTATTGCATGAATATTATTATTTTTAAATAAAGAGAGAATATTATAAGGTTAATAAAATCTTCAAAGAGCTCTAAACCATATTATTTTCTGGACTTTTCAATAAACACCAATATTGTTAATCTAAAATAGATAATCTTAAAACGTAAATTAGAATCAATTATTATATTTAAATTTCTTTACATAGAATAAATAAATGAGTAATGTAAATTTAACAATAATTTTAGACTAAAAATGTAACATATTAATAGAATTTTTATTGCGAATAATAGATCTTAAATAAATATTAAATGAGGCAGGGGAAAGGGTAGAGCTCTTAGGCACTCCATTATCAAAATAATAAGGCTAATTAGTAGTAGGTTCTTTATAATATATATTAGAATAAAAAAGTTTAGGAGACTCAATAATTTACTTAAGCTAAATTTTTTTATCAAATAAAATATAAAAAAGTAAGGTAAGATTGACAAAGTTAAAGCAATTATAGAATAAATAAAGATGCAATTCATTTTATCATTTTTTCGAAAGGAGTTAATTTTATTGAATTTATTAGTAATATGGGTTAAAGGTGAAGAATTTTTTACAAATGTGGTTTATTAATTGGGTAATTTCAATACCATACAATTTTGCAATTGAGGGAAAAATAAATTCAAGAAATTTAATTAATTTTTATTTTATCAGCCTACTAGCAAGGTTGATATAATAAGTTCTTGCCGGCGAAGAATTTGAGGTAATTGGGAGGGATCACGAGCTGCTTTGTGCAATACACGTAGTTGATAGATGCGTTCATCTATCTTGCTTGTATTGAGTACCCTCTACCTTAATAGTGGTCACGCCAGAGTTTAGGAAGCAACGTCCATCCTAATACTTCTTTTGTTTTACCAAAGTCCCCTTCCAAGTGAATTCCTAAGTGATGAATACTTTTGTATATATTATAACTAAATTCAAAAATTTAGAATATAAAGTTTATTACAGTGATGGTCTAAATTATATATTAGAAGGGATTTGAAGAATAGCTTATTTTTAGGAATTAATCCAGCCTAAAAGCATAATGGGTTAGATTCTGGGGTTGAATTTTACCAGAAGTCACATAATAAGGTGTAATTTTTGTTTAGTTAACTAATTGCCTTATTACATTATTAGAAATCTAACAAAGAACATATAAACTAATTCGAAAATTGTTTCTTATCCAAAGTTAATATTTCCATTCTCATCTTTAAAGTAAGAGAAATTCCACCTATCTTTAATTAGGATTCAGAGTGTTAATTTTATTTTTTGTATAAATAGTTTTTTAATCATTTTAGTATTGACATCTCTGAAAAAGAAGTTAAAGTTCTTAAATTTTATAATAAAGTTATGAAATTATTGTCTTTTTAATTTTTTAAATGACTCTGAAATTTTTTAAGTTGAATTTAACATAATTATGGTAAAATCTTGAAATTTCTAACTGGAAAATTAATTAAGCTTAAAAGTATTCATTTTATTTAATTTGGTAAAATAATATTTTTATTATTCTTCGCTTTTAATTATAATGAGGTTTATATTATTCAATGATCAGATAAATCGTTATAAGTATGATTATAGTTACTAAGAATAGTAGGAAAGGATATGACATGATACATATGGCTAGATACCATTTTCTAAGGATTTTTCCTCATAAATGTTTTTAATTTTAGAGTCAAAATTCAAAAGGGTTCTCAGATGATTAAAGTCTCCGCAAATAATAATAAATTAGTTGACTTGTATTGCCTCAATAAAATTGATAAGCCAAATTGTTAATTTCTCTTTTATAAGCAGGAATTTTTTTTTATGATTAAATTTAAAATTAAAGATGAAGATGCCAAAATATTCATTTTGAGCATTGATAATTAAATAATCAAAAATATCACTTGTAATTTTTAACATATGGCTGCAATCAAATGAAATAAAGCTATTATGAACTCCAGGAACGATCCCCCTAAAAGAGAACCTGTCTTTACCTAATTGTGATTTATTGTATAACTTGGTGAAGAGGCTGATTTTTATTCCTAATTTCTTAGAGGCAAAAAAAGGAACACTTTTTTTATTTTTGGGGTAAATTAGAGGTTTAAAAGAGCATATATACTAGGAATTGATTTTGATGGTAAGTGTAGTGTTAATATGACACAAATAGTTTATTTTGCTTTAGTAAAAAGAATGCGTCAGTTTTTTTGATAGAGTGTCGCCTGGCTACGATAAAACTCATTGAATCATATTGCCATAAATATCGGGCGAGCTAAGTTTAGGGATTTATCCTCTATGAATAATTTTGATATGATTTCTGAATTCATCATGATTAGAAAAATTTTTCTTAAATGATTAAAATTTCCCACCATTTATGAAGATTTACAAATTTTTTCTTATACTACTTTATTTCTGAGAGAAGCTTCAGGTGAAGAAAATTATTATTATTATTTTTTTGAAGTATTTAGACTTTGGTGTTTAGAAAGCCACTCAAATTGGATAGATTATATCTAAGTCATAAGAGCTTTAGAATGAATGTTTATATCTATAATTCTATTTATTATGAAAATTTTCAGGAATCAAATTAAATTAGGGTAAGATTTTTGTAAAATATTTTATTTCTGATTCATTTAGTTAAAAATAGTTTCAAACTTAATAAATTATATTAATAATTTAAGAATTTTTCTAAAAGAGGAAACCCAAATTTTCACAGTTTCCATAAGTTAAGTAACGTTCCTTTTTGGCTACACAAACAATTATTTTCTAGCTGAATAATTAAGTTAAATATTCGAAGATTTTAGGATAAAATAAGTTCTAATTAAGGATTTATAGGCTAAGATCATCATTTTGTTCATTAATTTATTGTTGAGTATTTCTTTACAATTATTAGGATGGAAATAAAATGAAAATGCTTCAAATAAATTAATTTAGAAATTTTTAGGTAATTATTATCTTGTTCATGATTTGGTAATTTGATCATTTAGTAATTTACCTTAATTTTCAATATCTAATCTTAATTTGATTATACTATTTAAGCGATTAAGCAGTATAGTGAGTGAAATTAGCTAAAAGGAAGTTCTGTTTTAGTATTAATAGCTAACAATGGGTCAAAGTTATTAATTATCACAAATAAATATAATAATAATCGATTTTAAATAATTTTTTTAGATAACTGATTAAAATAGCAATTATAATTTATCATTTTAGTATTTTAAATAATCTATATAAGAGTAAAAATTTTTTTACTAAAAATTATTCAACTTCAGCAGAATCATTATGACAATAGATTCATGAAGATTTCTTACTCTCCATAATCGGAATGATAATAACATAAATAGAAATAAAACATTGAATTTAAATGAGTTTATGGATATAAAAAAATTGGAAACATTCATTAATTAGGTTAATATATCTAAATATATGAATATAAAAACAAAGGATATATCGCTTAGATGTTATTTGAGAAAGTAAAACTTTATGATAATAATTTTCTCTATTGTATTGTGTAACAATTATACTTTAGTATAATATTTTGCTTTAAATTTCATTTTCATTATAATGCTCTAAGTTGGCTGATTATTTAACAAATATAGTTTTAAGAAGGATGGTTAAATTTTAGAGCTATTTAATAATATCTTATGGCTTAAAAGAATTGGTTCAAATTTTCTAATTGAATTGCTATATGATATCAAATATAAAACCTTTGTAAAAATAAGCATCAATATTATTGGGATCAAGTTAAATCACTTTATCAAAGCAGTGTATCGCTTATTCATATTACTTCATATTTTCTAAAGTAACACCTAAAATTCTAATTATAGAGATAGAACCTTTTCGAATATAGGAATTAATTGATGTTGGATCAAGTTTAATTACTTGATTATAGTCATTTACTGCTTGGTTAAATTCCCCAATATCTTAAAATAAAATTCCTAATATATAAAGAGTGATGTATTTACCTCTATTATAATAGGTGTGTGGATATTTTGGATCAAGTTGGATTGCTTGATGATAGTCATTCAATGCTTTATCATTCTCCCCATTATCTTGATATAAACTGCCTAATATTTTAGGTATAATAGTATATACCTCTATTACAATAAGCTATTGCAAATTTCTCATCTAGTTGGATTGCTTGATTATAGTCATTTAATGCATTTTGATACTCCCCAATATCTTGATATAAACTGCCTAATGTATTAAGTATAATAGTATTTACCTCTTCCATTATAGGCATATGCATATTTTGGATCAAGTTGGATTGCTTGATTTTAGTCAATTAATGCTTTGTCTTTTTCCCCAATATCATCATAAACACAGCCTAATATATATAAAGTTTTATTGTTTGACCTCTATTAAAATAGGCTATAGCATTATATGGATCAAGTTGGATTGCATAATTATAGTCATTTAGTGCGTTCTCTTTCTAACCAATATGTTTATATAAACCGCCTAATATTTTAAGTATAATTATATTCACCTCTATTACAATAGGCTTTTACATATTTTGGATCTATTTGAATTGCTTGATTATAGTCACTTAATGCTTTGTCAAAATTCCCAATATTTTAATATAAATTTCCTAAGATATTAAGTGTAATTGTATTAACCTCTATTATAATAGGCTATAGCGAATTTCTTATCAAGTTGGATCGCTTGATCATAGTCATATACTGCTTTATCATACTCCCCATTATCTTGATATAAACTACCTAATATATTTTAAGAATAATAATGTTTACCTCTATTAAAATAGGCTTTTGCATATTTTGGATCAATTTGGATTGCTAGATGATAGTCATTAATTGCTTTGTCAAACTTTCCAATATCTTTATATAAACTGCCTAATATTTTTAGTATAATTATATTCACCTCTATTAAAATAGGCTTTTACATATTTTGGATCTATTTGAATTGCTTGATTATAGTCACTTAATGCTTTGTCGAAATTCCCAATATTTTAATATAAATTTCCTAAGATATTAAGTGTAATTGTATTAACCTCTATTATAATAGGCTAAAGTGAATTACTCATCAAGTTTGATCGCTTGATCATAGTCGTTTGCTGCTTTGTCATACTCCCCAATATCTTCATATAAAATGCCTAATATATTTAGCGTTATTGATTCTATTTACCTCTATTATAATAGGCGTGTGGATATTGTGGATCAAGTTAGATTGCTTGATTATAGTCATTTAATGCTTTGTCTATCTCTCCAATATCATTATATAAGTTGCCTAATATGTTAGGTGTTAACTTATTCACCTCTGTTTATATAAGCAATTGCATCATTTGGATCAAGTTTGATTGCTTGATTATAGTCATCTAATGCTATCTCTTAAGCACCAATTTCAAAATATAAATTGCCTAATAGATCATATGTAATTGTACCTCTATTATAGTAGGCTATAGCATCATTTGAATCAAGTTAGATTGTTTGATTATAGTCATTTAATGCTTTATCTATTTCTCCAATATCCTTATATAAATTGCCTAATATATTAGATGTTATTTTATTCACCTCTATAGAGATAGGCCAAACTACATTTTGGATTGATGTCAATTGCTTTATTGTAATCTCTAAGTGCAAAATCAGTCACATTTTAATCATAGTAATACAAACCTGAGAATATACAATTTGTAATACCTCTACATAAAAATGCTTAATAACAGTTTCCATCTTTTTCTAAAGCTTAATTGTAATATTAGAGTTCATTATCCCTTTATTTCAAATTTCCCACAATAGTGCCTAAACATTTATATTTATTTTATTACCCATTCTACTATAACATATTGCAAAGTTAGGATTAATCTAAACACACTTCATACAATCTTCTAATGCTAGATCAAATAATTTTTTTCTCCAATATATTGTTCCTTAAAATATATAATTTAATTTATACCTCTTTAATAATAACTTTCAGCATTATTGTTATTTATAGATATGCTACAATTTATATCTTCCAATGCCTTATCATATAATGTCATTTTTTCGTATAATTCACCTATATTGTTATTTTAAAACTTTGAACTTCTTAAAGTATAGGCTTAAGCAAATTTAGGGTCAACATTCAAAGCATTATTAATTTCTAATAATGCTTCTTCAGTTCTATAAGTAAGTTTAAACTCCTTAAAATGATTCCATTGAATAATTTACATAGCTTCTTGTGTAATACTCTAATGCATCAGCATTTTTATTTTCCTTTTAATTGTTGTAGCTCATTTTTGATATGTATCCAAGTTTTTTTTAGAATAATTAATAAAATTTAGGGAATTTCCCACTTGGCTGAATATCAAAGCTGTAATGAAAAAAAAAGACATTCCACTTATTATAAATTAAAAAATCCTGTTGTTTATTATATATTTTTATTTGGGATTGTTTCAATTAAGTATTCAAGCATTTGTTGATTTTAATTATTTTTTTACATCTCATTATTAGGGGACGATATAAAATAAATGAATTAGTAAAATAAAATAAAAGAGGGTGACTTAAAAAAATCATTTAAAAATAAATGAGTTATTGTTCTTTATTTTCCTTTTTCAAGAGAAATAATTCAGTTGTTTTTGTTTATTTGGGTATTTTCTTATCAATCATATCAATTATAACCAAAAATTTATTGCTAAAGAGTTAATAAAGTGGGATTTTAATATTTCTGTTTTAATACTTTATTTAAATAGACACTAAAAATTTATGGAAAATAAATTATTTTGATAATTTGCATTAATTCTTTTAAGATAATTGATTAACTGTAAAGTCAACTAAAATTAAATCAATATAATTTATATATTAATAAATTAGAAATTAGTTTTTAGAATTCAGCTAATAAACAATATTTGATTTATGTATATTAGTTCAAAACGAATGATACAGAGTTGTCGTTTATATTTTTGTTTTCAATAAATTATTATTTCTTAACTTATTTTTCATGGTTGATTGAATTGAGATTAAAAGGGAGTAATTGATTAAATATGACTATGAAATAAATATGATTGATCAAAAGTAATAATGCAAAAATTAAACTTTAATAACATTATTTTATGGATATTTATTACTCAATAAGCAAATAAATCTATTTTTAATTATTTTTGGACTAACAAAAAAATACTGTTGTCGCGGTTAATATGATTAGGGATGATGAAGATAATGGTCCTTTGATTTTGGAAATTTATTTTTTAACTTCCAATATTCCCTTATTTATTCGCAAGTCTAAGCATCTCTCAGGATACGCTTTTTTAACAGTCTTACCTAAAAATGGGATTTTAAATACCTTTTTGATTTACTTTTGCAATAAGTTGTTTACTTTATACTTAATCAAACATTTAAATGTCTACTGGAGACTTATATTATAATAATACTTGTTCAAATATCTAAAAATTAAATCATTATTTTAATCAAAATCTTGTTTATGGCAATATTATAAAAAATAGATCCTTATGCAAAATTTTTTATTTGTCCTTATATATCAAATTCTCTATATAATTTCGTTTTCTAATATGTTATCTGACCTATTATAAGCTAAAATTCTTTTTATTTTCTGACAAAAGTTTTCTTTTATTATGAGTATTTATTAAATTTATCAAAATTTTAACTTTAGACTTTCCTAAAATGAGATTAAGGATTACATTTAGAAATAAATTGATAGAAATTACACCTTTTAGGACTTCAACAACTATAATTTAGGCAATTATTAGAGTAAGAGGATGTAGAAAAATAGTTAGGAAATGAATAAAAGATTTAAATGACATAGCCCTATTTTATAAATCTTATCAGATAAAATTAATATAAAAATTACAAAAAAAAGGAAAAAATTTGATTGCCATTAGTCTTTCCTAACAACTTTAAAACCATAATCCTTTCTATTTGAACTTGGAAGATTATACTCATCTATACTTATTTGGGTAGGATCATTAAAATAAAATTTAAGATAATACTCTATAGATCAACAATAGATATTTCTTTTATTTAAGTAGATTTCACTTATCTTTAAAAAAAATAATATAATTAATTATTCATAATCTAAATATATACTAGTACTTGATTTTTAATTATATTTAATATCTAATTCTAAGTAAGTAAAATTAAAAGATTGAAAAGTAGTTTTAAAAAATTTGCTAAATAAAAGTTGAAACTAATTCTAAGTTTTCATGAAATTTAGAATTTTTATTATTGTTATTTACATTTTATTATTCCATCTATAATTAAGGTTGATTGGGGGATTAGATATTTACAAAGTCAGGGTATTTTAACTTATTACATCACTTAAAAAAAAATTGATAAAATTAATAAGATACATCAATCATGGAAGAATTACTAGAATAAATAGCAGATAAGATACTTTAATATATATTATTTAGCTTATAATAATTTGATAGATAATTATCGGACAAAGGATTTATAATCGATAATAATTAGTTCCAAATGAAATATTTAATAGATAAAATTACATCTAATTTTATTCAATTTAAGGTCTATAAACAGTTAAAATTTTTAATTTTTTATTATATATTTTCTTTATTTAAATGCAACACCGAGTTATATATTTATTAATAAGCTATTTTTTTAGTTATCAAATCTCATAAGAGATGTAGAATATGATAAATATTATAAAAGCGAAAATGCAATATTAAAAAATAAAGGATGATATTAAGTATTGTATAATTTTGAAAAAATAATTAAAACCTATTGATCTACATAGTACTATTTTGATATTAGAATTATATGGTAAGATGAAGAAAAATAGTGATAAATAAAATGACTAATTTAATTTTAATGCTGTATCATGTATATAAAAAGCTTCTCGCTTTGAAATCCCACTATTTGCATCATATTGATATTACTTACATAGTTTTTATGTAATTTCAACATAATTTCATTTTGAGAGAGCTATTACTGGGATCTTATTATTATTTCATTTAATTCAATATTTTTGGTGTTTGATGGTTTTGATATGAATTAATCTTAATTAATCAATCAATAAATAGTTAAGCATAAAGCTGAATGAAAATTAAATATGTTTTGATATTAACAAGCCAAAAAAGTAAAGATTGAATAATAAATGAATTGTTTTTTAACTTATTATAATATTAAAATAATAGCTATATTATTTATGTCTAAAATTTAATTAAAAAAAGTTAAATGTATTTATAGGGAAAAAAAATCATTCAGTATCTATCTTTAAAAAGTATCCTTATTTAGACACCCAGGATTTAGTTTTTTTGATCTTAGAACTTAAAATTTTTCTTTGATTTTAAAGTTAAGATTTAGAAACCTCTAATAAATGTTGTCTAAGCTTATTAATCAATATTTTTATTCTCTTATTTTTTTAGGTCGATTTTTGCAAATTATTTTATAACTTTTTTGTAAATATTGAATTTGATGAAATCTTATTCAAAATTATATATAAATAATTTAAAATTAGGATAAAGTACTTATTAAAATAAACTTCTAATATACTCTTGATGAAGGAATAACAAATTTTAATACAAAGAAGAACAATTATAGTCTAAAGTGATATAGATGAAAACTAATTGTTTTCTTGTTCTGCCACATATTTAGCTGCAACAAGAAAAATTGATATAGAACAAATTAATGCTGAAAATAAATCCTTGCTATTGAAATTAGAGAGAATATAAGGTTTTTTGTTAAAAGCTATTAACTAATAAAAAAGTAAACATAATCCTAATAGTGATGCTTTTAGCAAAATATAAGTTTCAAAATATGTTAATATTAGAATTATAATTGTTTTCTTAATTAATTTTATGTCTTCCCAAAAATAGCTACTTACATTATATTCATTAATTAAATAACAAAAATGTTTTCTTATATTAATTTTATCATGTTAACCTTTTTTAATATACATGACAATAAAAAGGGAAAGAGGAATCATCAAACTAAATATTCCTATTCCAGGAATAACAAAAGAGAAAATCCATATTAGATGCTCTTTAGATTCAAATAGAAGAGATACATCACCTTAAATGTAACTCTAACTTGAAACATCTCTTTTAGATAGAATGGAAAAATACCTATATAATTTTAATAAAATTACATTTTAACCAATCCACCATAATTAGATATATAAAGGTATAGTAAGGTATTAGATATAATTTCTAAATTAAAATTGCTCAATCCAATCTTTTTATGCCAATTATAACAGAGAAATCCAATTATTATAAGTATAAATTATGATATCATCAGTATTAGCATTGTAATTATTTTATAGTAAATCAATTATATTGTTTGATTTTCTGATAAATAACAATCTAAATTATTAGTCATGGAATAAGAAGTGTTACTGACAGAATCAACAAATCCAATTGAAAAAGAAAATTGTATATTAAAAGTAAAAATAGAAGAAAAAATCCACAAATAATTTAATAACATTTTTATTAAAAAACTTTCATGCCCTTTAAATAAATATTTTATTTACCTTATTCTAAGTTAAAAATAATTTTATTAAATCTTTATGATAATTTTAAACATTTAAATAATTAATTTGACTATTCAATACTTCTTAAAGTTATAATAATAGATATAAAAGAACTAAATATTAAATTAAATTACCAAATTGATGCTGCTATAAATGGAATTATACTATCCTAAACACCAAAACAAGATATACATTATGAATCCTATTAATTTTAAAAATATTTTCCATCTCCTCTTATATTATAAATATCACATTCTTCACATAATGCTCCAACATGTCCTAAATCACATATTTAATTTCCTTATCCCCAACCACCTTTACAAAACTTTAAATTTTTAAAGCATTCTTCTATTTCATCTGATAAATAATTAGGTCTCCAATATCCTTCTAATAATTCAATATTATTTTCAGTGATATTTTTAAATTTTGTTTAATCAAAAATTGAACATTCTTTTGCATCATATACTACAGAGTAAAACCCTTAACTAGATGAGCAAGGTTAACATCCAGAATTCACATAAAATTCTCCAAGTTAACATTTGAAACTTTTTGTTTCAATTATATAATTAAAAATTCTCAATTTTTCAGATGATTAACAGTTAATCTCAATTTATAAACGTTATTAATTCTAAGGATCAAGAATGAATGAATGAGAACCTAAATCATAGTAATCTTTTTCTTAATCAAATTTTAAAATTGTTTGCTCTGTCTACTTTCCTACTTAATCTTAGCTTTCTCCATGAATAATCTTACTAATAAAATTACAACTAGTGTTATAGTTATTTGGAAGTTATTCGTTTAAACTATTCTTTAGAATAAGACCAAATTCTGTTATATAGGAAAAATATTGAATGCTTTGAGGCTAATAAATTTAATATTCTTAAATAATTTAATTACTTGGTATCATTAAAACATCTGAAAAATAAGAAATTCCTTATTCAATTATTTTATAGGGTTTAAGTATTAACTTACAATTTAAAATCTAGTTAATGACTATCTTTTTAGATTACATTTCCATATTGTTGATTAATAATTCTAAATGATGAGGGGACTCAATAAGATTATTACGAAATTTGAATGCTTTATTAAAAAAATAAAAAGGTATTTATAAAATTATGTAAGAGTAAAGTTGTAGACTAATTAAAATAAATACCTCCTCCATTTAATGCCTCATTATTAGTAATTATTGTGGATTTAATTTAATAATCAGAATTATTTAATTATAAAAATAATCCTCCACCAGATTGGCTTACATAATTATACATTATTTTGCAATTCTTCATCCTTAATTTAACATTTTAAATTAAAACACCCCCTCCATGGCTTCCATTATTCGATATGAAATAAGAATCTTTAATTCTAATAGTTTAATTTATAAAATCTTAAATCAAAAAATGGATACAACCATTCTATTTACATTATTCATATAGCAAAAAATATCGTTTAACTTAAATATTTTAAACTATTATATTTCAAAAGTGATAATTCCATTTAAAAAATCTGATCCATTATTATTCATAAATTAAATCTACTAGAACATAAGTAAATTTTAGTTAGAAATACTTTTGACATACATTATCTGACTTGATTCTTAATTTAATGATTGTATCTAATTTATAATCTCCGAAAAAATAATTTCTGATTTTATTGAGGTTGGTCTCCACACACTACATCCTACAATTTTATAATTTAAATCCGATAAAATAGGAATAACAACTGATTTTGGATTGTAAGTATCACTCTAAATTATCTTTAGGTTTTAAATAAAAATTGTTGATTGAGTTTATTAGGTTTACGATATATGAATGAGATCAAATGAATATATTTTTATTATAGATATTAGATTACAATCAAAAAGCTTTAATTTAAATGCATTATAAAATTTAAATATTGGAAATATTGCTATTCCTTTAACACTAAGATTTGTTATTTCAGTTTTGCAATTTTCAAGTAAAATCATAGCGTTATCTTTACTCAATATATTATCTAATTCTGATAATGTTATTGAACCAATCAATCAAGGAATATAATTAAATCCATAATTCTTCACTTTAATAAATTGATAGATTTTTAATAATTACTAAATTTTTTTCTATAATTTATGCTGTAAATTTAACTAAAATAATTGAATTCATTAATGATAGGAAGTTTTTTATTTCAATATTATTTAAACGAATAATATTTTATTTTAAAGATGGTGTAATAGTAAATAATGATGCAGCCATTCTATTAAAGATGTTGGTAAATTTTATTTGTTTTAACTCAATATTCAAAAGACTTTTAGTTGAATCTATACTTATACAACCTGTACTTCCACTATTTTATAGATTAGTTTGAACAGTGTTGATCTAAATATTACTTATTTTGATTATTCCTTCTCCCAAAGTGTTAATTTAGAAAACAGAACTTTTCAAAGCAATAATACCTTAAAATATACTATCTGTGCAACTAAAATTAGAAGCTGCAATATAAATCCCTTAATTTAAAAATTTAAAAGTTGACTGAATAATTTAGGTTATTTGTTGTTACTTATATTAATCATCTAATTCAAAATCATAAAATTGTTACCATAATTATTAGGGTAATATATTTTAATTCATGAATATCAAGTCAGAAATTTCAATCAAAGTGGCAGTCAGAGTAATGAATTGATTGGTTGAATTAGTTAAGGCATTTTAGTAGCAATACATATGATGAATATAAACAGAACTATCTAATGAACTTAAATGTAATAAATTAGTTTATGTTTCAAATGGATCATCAATTTATGAATTTAGTATATTTTGTGTAAACTAAATATTAATTAATTTAATATTTAAATTATATTGAGAATATATGTTTACCAAAGATAACAAAGTGGCTTATTTGTTCTTTAACAAAATATTCCCTTAAAATTATACATTTGTTAATACTACTAAACCAATTGAATCAATAATATATTAGATACTAAAGTTAATATCAATTATTGAATAATTTATACTAAATTGATTCTCTATTTTAATGTTTGACAATGATAATTACTGAAAGCCTAAAACTTTTAATAGTTAATTTCTAAATTAGACTTAAATCATTACAAAATGATGAAATTGGAACCTTATGTTCTTACTAAGAATTCTAAAATAATACAGAATCAAAAATGATCTAATTAATTTCAAAAAGTTAAAATATAACGATGTTTTATAATGAAAAGAATAAGGCATTTTAGACTTGAAAATAATGACAATGTAATTTTATTAATGAGTTTTCTAAATACAAAGTATTAACAACTCGATTTTCATAAACTTTAACATTTTTAATTCTAACAATAAATTTATTGATTTAAAGACTAGAATAAATACTTATCAAATTTGATTCTTAAAAAGAACTTTAATTATCTTCAAAATCATCAATTATACATAAAACCCTTTATTAATTTATTATCAATAATAATGATATAATTGAAGATTCTATAAGATTATTCTGACTTGTTCTAATTGTAATCAATTCTAAATTATCGTTAAAACCAATAATTGCTGAATTTTAAAGATTGTTATGATGGAAGAATAAATTGTTACCCTTAATTTCAAACTAAATATTGGTTTTGAAAAAATAAGAGAAAGTAAATTTACATTAATAAATTTCAACATCTTATAATTTGATTTAATTAATATTGATTAAATCTGTTTAAAAATAGAAAAATGAACTATGATATATTGAACAATTTTCTATAATGATATTTTCAATCATTATCATTTTTTAGTTATAGCCAATATTGAATAATAAAGAGTTATTTAAGAGACAATTCTTAAACGTTAATTTTTGAATCTTTACTTAAAAGAATTGTTTATTAAAATCAAAAAATGTTGAATTTATAAATGTAGAATCTATAATTTAAACATCTTAAAAAAGAATATTTCCATAAATTTTGAGTTTAAAGAATTGCTATATCAGTTATGTTGCATCTAAGAAAAATCATATTTTTAAATGTTATATCCACTCTATCTTAATTATTTTCAAAATTAAATCCATTTAATAATAACAATGTTATATTTTTGACTTCCATCTAATCAAAATTTTTTATATTGAATTTTACAGTTGTTATTATATGATCATTTTATACAGAATTTAGAATATATTTTGTTTTTTTTAAACTAAAGATTTTTTTCTTTAAATTACTCAATAATGATAATTCATACAAAAAGTTGCATTCTAGTCCCTAATGGTCCAATTAAATTATAAAATTAATTGTCATTAAATCTACCCCAACTAGATTACAATATTTAAAATTAATATAATCTTCAAAATTAATAGAACTAAAAGACTTGAATAAACATTAACTCAAAGTTAATGAAAATGAAAATTAATTTTAACATTTATCATTTAAACAGTATTTAGCAATTTAGAGGTAGGGATCTATGATGATATTAGGATGATCAATTGGTTTTAAACATTTCATAACAAATTAACCATTTTATTCTTGCTCTTAAATACTTGATGATAATTCATATAAATAATCCTAATATTTATTTTAAAAATTACATTTTTATTTCTTTGATCACAAAATTTACATAAATTAGAGCAGGTTATACATTTTCCTAAAATTTCACTTTTTATATGTTTTCTATAATAATTTAAAGGACATTTCTTGCAGATGAAATTTTCTTCATCCTTATAACAATCTAAACATTCTCTATTACAGTATTCTTTACACTATAAATTTTTTGTTAATTCATATCCTTATATACATTTAATTGGAATCTAAACTAATTATTATGGAGAGTATGAATAATAATATTTATCAGGTAAAAATAGCATTAAAAAACTTTAAAGCATTTGAATATATCCATCTTATTCCAAATAGTCTCCTTAGGTGATGTGAAAACTATTCTGTATAAATTCAGGATTTTAAATATCTTAACAATTTCCTGTTATAACTGAACTAACATATCCTTATTTACATAGAACACATTATAGTTTTGATTTAGGAGTAAGAAAACATTATTAACAATTAGAATAATATTTCTCACAATTTATAATTTCAGGTGCAATGCTAAAATCAGTTGAGGAGGATAAAGTACATACTTCAACACCATCTTAATTTATAAATGATCTTAAACAAGTTTCTATTTTTGATTATTATTTTAAGCATTCTCCAATCGTAAAATCAAAAATAAATCCATCTTGGCACATTGCGCAGCCAACTTATATCATTTATTCTCCAAAAAAACTTTCAAAATTTTTATATAAGGTACTTTTGAATTAATATTCATCATATGAGTATTCAAAACAATAAATGCAATTTTATTTTGTGCATAATTTACATTCATTAGTATGTGTTTATAATAAGGTGTATGACAATTTTTTTTATTATCTAATCTAATACATTAACCATTCTTAAGTATTTAATTATCTTCACATGATGTACATATTACTCCAAGCATTGAAAAATAGTATACTTTGCAATGGACATCAATAAATTCTTCACATCTATAATATATATTTAAGTTTTTGCAGAAATAACCAAAAGGGGCTGATTTTTCTAAAAAGTTTTAGTACAAATAATTTTCATTATCAATTATTATTTCATTCTCATTACTATAATATAAATGAAAATAGTTTCCATCAAAAATTAAATATTCATATTTGTTCATTTATTGTTTTTCTGTTTAACTTGTTTGACTTATATATAAATCTTACATACAATATGGGTGTTAAATAAAATATTTAGGATTTTATACACACTCTAAACAAATAACTAAATCTCTCCTTATAATTGATGGACTATATAGATTATAAATTAATTACCATTTGTAACATTCATTATCAAATTCAAAATAACCATATTGACATTCAATATTAGTAAAAGGTTCATCACTAATTTCTAAATTTGCTTCTTTATAACCAATACAAATTTAATCATCAATAGTATTGTAAGGACAAACACATACTTTATGTTCAGGTAAATAAATTCTCTTTGACTCTTCTGAACAAGATAAACAATTTTCATAAATTGGACCATCACATTCTTAACAACTGTAATGACAATTTTAATCAGAAAAACTTTGATCACAATTAAAAAAATAGAAATTTCTTATTGATATGTGCAAGTAATTTAATCATATTATATGTTTATTCGTAAAACTTAAACCTGATGTTGAACAATGATAATTCGAATATTTAAATAAAGCAATTTTTTTTAAAGTTAGAATCTTTCAATTTAAACTTCTTTTTCAATGTATAAGAATTATTCATTATTTTTCATATCCAAAGAATTTCTTTTATCATACTTTAAATTGTATTTATTTAATTCAAAACATTTTCTACTATTCTAAACTTGAAATTATTGTAAAATAAACACAATTCCATTTTCTAATTCATAAGAATGATAAAATTTTAAAGATAGATTTTTTTGTAACTTGGCCATGAAATTATTTTATGAGTTTTATTATATTTATACCATTTAGTTTCCATCCGATGAAAATGAAAAATCTAAAATCCAACTTGAATTAGAATCTAATTGAATAATTAGTTTTAATTATTCTAAATTCCATAACAAAAATATTCTTATCAAAGTTACAGGATTACCACTTTAAATTATCCATTCTAAATTATAAAGTTAAAGCATCCATAATGTATTCTATAAATTATTATGCATCTTAATTTGATGAATTAATTCAATATCCCATATTTTTATTTTTGAATAGACTTTTCTAGTACTTTTCTTTGAAGTGCAGGCAAATATTGAACAGTTAGAGTTATATGGAACTTTATGAAAATATATTTGCTTAGTTTGAAATAGATATTTACTCAATACTATTAAGAATTAAAAGCTTGATTTCAGTTTTTAATACTCAAATTAGAGCATTTTATTTTCACCAATCGTTTCTAAATCTAATAATTTTTTGTAAAGGCTTCCCCAAATAATTCGTGATCATTGTATCAAATTATTCCTAGCAGCAGTAATAGAATATGTAAAAAATATTGTTGGCTGTGAATTTAAAATTATGTATTTATATAAATGGAAATCAATTTTATTTTAAATAAGCAAAATATAAAGAGTTGGGTAATATATTTTTGAAACGTATACACTTCCTTCTCACAATCAACTATTAGTATTAAATTGATTCATCAGCGTTTTTTCTGCACAAAGAATCAACATTGTAATTTTATACAAGATTTTCCAGATGCAATAATTGAGCAATTTGAAATAGAAAAAACTAATCGAAAATTAATCTTTTTCCTTAATAAATAATAATTGTGATGTTTAATTTGTAGAATTCTTTTTTTTAGCTGAAAAACTGACTAATTAAATAAATATTTGCAGATTCTCTTCATTAATATTTCAATAGCCTAATGATAAATAATCTTAGTTGTATTAATGTTCCAATCAAAAAGGGGATTCTTAAACGTCAGTATTTTATTAGCAATTTCATTTTTTTTAAGTTTAAATATTATTTTTTAAGAGAGATAATTTTCCAGAAAAAATTATGATCCACAACTATTTAGATATCAATTACTTAATTTGCAATAATTCTATCTTTTTATTCTCAATTAAAACAAAGAAAATTGCCATTTAGATGTATAAAATATCGAACTTAATTATCCATATAGTTATTTTCTTAGATGATTAAATGATAAAGGAATAACGTACTATGATGAAATTTTTAGATTTTACAAAATAAATTTTTAATAAATGATATTTTATAATTTTTTGTTTGAAGATGATTTCTTTCAGATATTTTTTAATAGATGTTTTGTTTTAAGTCATTACTCTTCTAAATTATAAAATAGATTCTGGAAAACTCTTTAGTACCTCAGTTACTTGTAATTATTTTAATTTGAATTAAAATGTTTATAGTAAATTGGATAAACATGTTATTCAATTTTCCTGATTTTTTTTCTAATTTTTTGAGTTCTTCTACAACATTTATTTAGATTAATAATAAATAATAAATCAATTTAAAGATCTCAACTTCTACTCTAAATTTGCATAATTCGTCTTGTTTTTTTTTTAATTAATCTTATCTTCTATTAACAATTACTCTCACCATAAATAAGCGTAATTCAATAAATTTACTTCAATCAGAATCCAGACTTTTAAGATCTATAAATTAAAATAGTAAAATTATTCAATTAAATTAATTTGTTAATTTGGTTTAATTTTCTTAAATTTTCAGAATATTTTACTAATAGTTACTTTTGAAGCAAAGAACGGTAGTTGATTGTATATTAGCTTATTAAATTTAGGGGTATTTTTTAAAGTGCCATAATTTAAAGAATTTATTATACTATTGTTTCTGTTAAAGTGTTTAGATAACTATGTTAAAGTTTCAATTATTATCTATGTTATAAAAAGAATATTATGCTTCTCCTCTTGATCTAGTAAAAATCAAACTTCAATAAAATTATTTTTTATTAGCTCTAATACAATATTCTTATAAAAGATATAGTACTGATAATGTAATGCTGATATTCTTCAACAATATTTGTATAATTTCCCATTGATCATAACATATCTTAAAATTGGCTATTCATAGTTTCAAGAGTCATTTTTATGGGGTAAACTTAAAGTAGTTTTTCTTAACTATGATGGCGTTGTTTAAACAATTTTTGGATAATTTTAATCACATTAATAATGAAAGTTAATTGTTATGATTTTAAATTCACATAGAAAACAGTATTTCAAATAGGTTGTGCTAAATCCTAGATTTTTTAAGTTATTTTTAGCAGTATTTAACACAAGAATAATAATCAATAAAATTAGGAATTTGGTAATATACTTGTCTCAACTAATCCATCTTATGACTTATTTTAAAGAGAAAAATTAGAGAATTGAATTTAATTAAAAATAATCTAATCAATAAAATTAAAAAAATTAAATAAAAAAAAAGAAATTCTCAAAAATATATCCAATCAAACTCTGAATCTTAGTATTTGCTTAAAAATATAATAGATAATTTTTATATTAATCAATTATCATATATTATTTCTTCTTAGGTGATACCCCTATTGCTCGTTGTTTTTTCAATCCATGTACCAACCTTTTTGCCATTAAGATATTCCCCAATATAAATAATTTATTCTCTATTATTAAACTCTCTACTTTCTTCAATCCATTTTCCAATCTTAATCTCATCACCATTATCATCATATGATCCACCACCACTAAAATTGTTTTTATTATTTACATCTATAAGTTTGCATACAAANTTAATTTTCTTAAATTTTCAGAATATTTTACTAATAGTTACTTTTGAAGCAAAGAACGGTAGTTGATTGTATATTAGCTTATTAAATTTAGGGGTATTTTTTAAAGTGCCATAATTTAAAGAATTTATTATACTATTGTTTCTGTTAAAGTGTTTAGATAACTATGTTAAAGTTTCAATTATTATCTATGTTATAAAAAGAATATTATGCTTCTCCTCTTGATCTAGTAAAAATCAAACTTCAATAAAATTATTTTTTATTAGCTCTAATACAATATTCTTATAAAAGATATAGTACTGATAATGTAATGCTGATATTCTTCAACAATATTTGTATAATTTCCCATTGATCATAACATATCTTAAAATTGGCTATTCATAGTTTCAAGAGTCATTTTTATGGGGTAAACTTAAAGTAGTTTTTCTTAACTATGATGGCGTTGTTTAAACAATTTTTGGATAATTTTAATCACATTAATAATGAAAGTTAATTGTTATGATTTTAAATTCACATAGAAAACAGTATTTCAAATAGGTTGTGCTAAATCCTAGATTTTTTAAGTTATTTTTAGCAGTATTTAACACAAGAATAATAATCAATAAAATTAGGAATTTGGTAATATACTTGTCTCAACTAATCCATCTTATGACTTATTTTAAAGAGAAAAATTAGAGAATTGAATTTAATTAAAAATAATCTAATCAATAAAATTAAAAAAATTAAATAAAAAAAAAGAAATTCTCAAAAATATATCCAATCAAACTCTGAATCTTAGTATTTGCTTAAAAATATAATAGATAATTTTTATATTAATCAATTATCATATATTATTTCTTCTTAGGTGATACCCCTATTGCTCGTTGTTTTTTCAATCCATGTACCAACCTTTTTGCCATTAAGATATTCCCCAATATAAATAATTTATTCTCTATTATTAAACTCTCTACTTTCTTCAATCCATTTTCCAATCTTAATCTCATCACCATTATCATCATATGATCCACCACCACTAAAATTGTTTTTATTATTTACATCTATAAGTTTGCATACAAAATATCCCATCTACCAACTTTTTTACTATTATGATAATCACCAATGTAAATAATTTCTTAATTCATTTAAAACTAATCGCTTAATTCAATCCATCTCCCAACTTTAATTCCATTACCTTTTTCGCTATATGATCCACCACCACTAAAAATTTTAAGTAATATTGAATAATTACATCTCGTTAAATACATCACTCCAATTTCTATATAAAATATCCCATTTGCCAATTTTTACATTATTTTAATATTCACCTTAATACATTGTCTATTTATTAATCCTAAAGTCCTTATACAAATCAATCCATAAGCCTATTTTATAACCATTATAATCATCATATATTCCACCACCACTAAAAAATTTTTTTATACAAATATTATATTTACATCACTGTATTATTAAACAAAGTATTCCATCTACCAATTTTTTGACCATCTCTATATTCACCATCATAGGTAACTTTTGAATTCATAGAATAACCATCGCTTATCTCAATCCATTTTCCAATCTTAATTACATTACCTTCTTTATCATATGATCCACCACCACTAAAAAAATTTCATTTTAATTCAGATTTACATCACCGCATTTTAATCCAGAGTATCCCATCTACCAACTTTCTTACCATTTTGATACACACCTTTGTAAGTTATTTTTTTTTCTGATGAAAAGTTTTCCGATATTTCAATCCATTTCCCAATTTTAGTTCCTTCATCTAATTCATCATATTATCCACCACCACTAAAACTTTGATTGATGTTTACATTTATTTAGTTTTTCCGTCAGTAAAATAAATACCCCATTTACCTATTTTATTACCCTTTTTGTATTGACCTTTATAAGTTATTTCTGAACTAAAATCAGATTCATCGCTCAAATCAATCCATTTCCCAATCTTTTCCCCATTATCATTATATTTTCCACCACCTCTAAAATATTTTAAATTATTTAATAAAATTATATTACATAACTTATCCAATCTCCTCGAAATCCCATCTACCAACTCTTTTACCGTCTTAATATTCACCATAAATAATGATTTCTTAATACTCATAAAACCCATCAGATAATTCAATCCAACTTCCAATTTTATTTCCTTTACCTAATTCATCATAAGATCCACAATCACTAGAAAATTTGCATATATAATATAATTTTACATTGAAAATTTAATGTATACAAGATTCCATCCACCGATCTTTTTACCGTTTTTATATTCACCATAATAAATGACTTACGAATCTGAATAAAATCCATCACTTATTTCAATCCAAGTCCCAATTTTAAGTTCATTACCTAATTCATCATATAATCCACCGCCACTAAAATAATTAATTTAATATATCATATTTACATTTATTTATTTTAATAAAAAATATCCCAATTACCTATTTTTTTGCCATTTTTATATACACCTCTATAAGTAACTTGGCAGTTATCTTAAAATTCATCAATTAACTCAATCCATTTACCATTCTTTAGTCCTATTTAATTGTACGATCCCACACCACTAATTAATTAAAATAATATAACATTTTATTTTTTTTGTAGAAATAATTCCACATTCCTACTTTTTAATTTTAAACATACACTCCACTTTCATATACTTAAGCTTTACTACAACTATATATTTAATTTTTACTCCCAATAACTTTTAAATATTTGCTTCCATAAGCCTTCCTTTAATCCATTCTTAAAGTATCCACCAACTTCGATAAGAGCTTCCCCATTCCAGAAAGCTATCCACTTACCCAATTTTTTCTTATTCTGTCCATATTCACCTTACCATCTTAGATATTTTATCTATTCCACATTGTTTAAAATTTCTGGATTTTAGGAAATATCCACAAGTATTTCACTATAACTCTAGAAATAATACTTTACTTTCTCAATATGATTCCATTATAATAATAATTCAAGAAATGATCTTGGGTAATTGTAATTTAGATTTTAGTCTTAACAAGTTTCATCCTTTTTTCATCCACTTTGTCAATTTCCAAATCTTAGATACCTTATTGCCATTAGAATTAATCTAAGCAAACCAGCTTATTTTAAGTTTCATTAATCATCTAACAAAATATTAATTTTATTTCTCTAACTTTATTCGAGTATAACATATGAACAATAAACATATCTTTTTAAATAATAATATTTGCGGGAAATTTAATAATCAAATACTATCATTGCTTCTAATTAAAAAGAAAAAATAAGATATTCTTTGATAATTTTTTTAAATCATATCAGGCAAATCTTGAAATAAATATTATATTTTATGATATTATATTATTTATTTTGTAATTAAATTTTATTTTCTCTAAATTTATGTCTTGCAATAAATTGAAAAACATTCAACTTTTTACATTTAAGAGATTATCTCTTATGCTTCTTTTTCTCTTGGTGACTAAATTACAATCAATTGAGTATTAGGTAATTAAAAGAAAAGTATTTAAATATCTACCATTAAAAAAAAAACATTATGAAATTTAAAACAGACCTAAAAATAGTGAAGTCAATTTACATCATAGAAAACCATTCTATGCTATTATTATTAAATTTGTAGAAGGAGAAAGAGTTAGAAGGGTTTAGCAGATTTTTCCACTTTTATTCGATTGACAAACTTTGCATATAAATAAAAGAATATTGATTGAAAATAGTAATGTGTAGCCAAAATGGATCTAAATCAAAGATATATAGAAAACTATTTATAGAATATACTCTACTATTCAAAATAATATCATTCTGATTTTTTAAATGAAATTTGATATTGGTAAAGTAATTTTAAAAATCCCTTATGGCTAGAAGAATATAGTTTTAAGTTTGATAATATTTTATATTCCAAGCAATTCTAATAATCTAAATATAAAAAAGCTCTTAATTAATATAAAAATCCAGCTTTGGAAATTACATCAATAATTTAACTATGTAATTAACGAAAATAAATTCATATCTTAAGGATATTTTAAATTTCATCAAAACTTAAATATATAATAATGCTACTTTCTAAAAGAATAGATTTATTATCTTGCTTTCGTAGCTGGACTATTCTCTAATCGCAAAACCTGGTAGCAAATAGTCAAATAGATGTAGCATGATTTCTTCAAAATTTTAAGAGATACTTTAAAACAGATCACTTAGATCATATTATACAAATCAAATAATGAGGAATGGCAGGAGAATGAAGAAATTAAAAATAAATAATGGCTCTTATCGATTGAATTACAAAAAATTTATCAAAATTAACAAAAACTGTATCTTTACATTATTAAATTAAGCAAAGAACTGGTAATTGGTAATTGGCATCTTTTTCTAACTATTTAGAAATATAGCCAATTTAATTTTCTAATTTTTTATTTTTTTCCAAAAAAAAAGATTTATTAATTTTTAAATAATTGCTTAATGATTATTAAACTATCATATGTTATCATTTTTCTTTTATTTTCTAACATTTTCCAAATTAATATGAGGTATTTATTTTTCAGTCCAACTTTTTTCATATTTAGTCCAACCTTTTTATTTTAAATTTTCAGAAACATATATTCTCTCCATTGAAATATCCTAAATCATAATTTTATTTCAAAAGTAGATTCTTAACTAGATTGTAATTTCTAAAGTTTTGGCATATTTTCATAATGTGAATATTGATTTTCTGGATTAATTATTATTTGGAGAATTCTATATCAATCATCGAAGTTAATTTAAATTTCTAATTATTACTTATATTCTTTAGCTACTTGGTTCTCTCAAATAAGTCAAATCATTTTATTAATTTCATTAAACTACAGGTCTTTATTTCAATATATGATTTCCTATTTCAGGACAATTTTGTAACTATAACTTATGAAGTGTTTAATTGAATATTTTTTGATATTACACTAACTTAAAATTATCTATTATCAATCTATTTAATAACTGTTTTAACAGTTTAATAGATATATTATATATGATAATATTTCGGATTGAATTGAATAGTTTTATCAAATATCTTACCAGATATTATTTATATTTTACAATTATCATTAGTAATATTTTTAGTTTTATGTAAAAGATATTGGTATTATTTATATATACTCAATAAAGAATTATTATTTCATTTTTTTGTTTCATTTAACTAATTATTATATTAAATTTAGCTAAAAAACTGGATAAAAATGTATTTAATTTATGAAATAGGGAAATTTTTATTATCATTTTGAAGAAAACAATTTATATAATAATAATAATTCCAAATAATAAGCATCATTTAAAAATCACTAATATATAGGAAGATAATTTTTATTTTTTAATTTAGATTTTTTATTACGATTACTATTACTATTAATTATTAAACTATTTAATTAAAGATTATAATTATATAATTTTATGAACAATCTCCCACAAATAATCAACAATTTTCTATTTAACTAAAATATAAATCTTTATTTTAAACCTATACTTTGATATTAGCTCAAAACTGAATTTAAATAGGAAATTAATGCACTTGTTAATAATTGATATCAAAATTTGACTGTTCTTATTTTAGCAAGTGTTAATTTATCGATTAAGTTTGTTCTTAAAAATCTTATGATTAGATCAACTTTGAGGCTTGTTAAAGTAGGAATTGGAATAATGGAAAATGTTCTAAGTTTACAAATTGTCAGGATTATTAAGCTTCCATTGATGAAGATTGTTTTAACCTTTGAACATGATCTCATTTATAATAATTCAATTAAAACCTGCCAAACATAAGATCCATTAAAAAAATCATGCTAAGAATAGGACTATGCCAATTGTTATTATGGGATAGAAGGTAAATGTATATACAAAGACAACCAATGTTAAATTTGGATAAATTGTGTAGATGAAGAATATGAAAATTGGAATATATAATAAAATAAATGTGTATCCGGTCCATCATGTTAAAAAATAGGAGATTAGTATGCCTGTTTACTTTCCCATATATGAATTATATGGATGTACTTTATCAGAATTCTAGGATTTAAATTTTTTTATATTTCTCGAAATTAGAAGAAAAAAGCTTCTACTTTTTATTACAATTCGACATTATAGGATTTATTACTTATTTCATTAAAATAAGTTCCTTAAAGAGGAATAATTACAATTATATATTGCTGATTATTCTGAGCTTTTCCTCATAGTTTGGTTTGAATCAGTTATTTAGTCATGTTTTATGTTATTATATTCTTAAAAAATAGGGTTCCTCTAACTATTAGATTATACAAATTCTTGCAAATTCTATGTATTAAATGAAAAAGAAGGGGAAAAGTTGATTTATTTCTGTTCAACAATTAGTGTAAGTATTATCAAATTATGGAAAGATATACAGCGTAACTGAAAAATTAATGCTGACTATCAATTTACTTATTATTTTTTTAAATATATATTAGAAATTAAAAATAATGACTTTTCAATATATGGAGAAACAAATGAAAGTGTTATTTTTTTAGGTTAAATAATTAATTTCTATTAATTAACATTAAAAACAATATCATAGAAATAAAATGGAATCTTATTTTATATTTGAAATGTTCTATTTGAATATTACAAATGATCAATTAGTAAATTAAGTACTACCTAATCAGATCTTAGATGCTTAATTTGATTAAGATATCTACTTAAACAGGAGAATAATAAATTGATTATTAAGATAATATAATTAATACTCTTCTTAAAAGGAACTTTAATAAAAGGTATAATCTTTTATAATTCACTTAATATAGATCATTTTCATTATTTTAAATTAGTCAGAAAATATAAAATATAATATATGATAAATGTCTTAAAAAAATTTTAAAATTTTAACATTTTTAAATAATTGTGAAATAGTGTTAGTTTCTAATATAAGGATAATTAAATATGAAAGAGGTTAATCTAAAAATGAAATACTAAGTTAACTTTACACATTTCTTAATAATATAATATCAAATAATATCTACATACTTCAATAATTTATATTAATATGTCATTTTAACTTAATAAAAAACTGGTGAAAGAAGAGAATTATTATTGGATCAAACAATTTATTTTATATACACAAAAATATAAAAAATAATTATAAATTATTATCTCTTATATTTATATATTATTCATATTTCATTATATTTTCTAATCTGAATTTCATATGAACCATTATCCCAAGTTATTAAATACTAAGCATCATCACTCATACATCCATATATAGCAGAACTTTTATATTCAATGTATTATTCAGCTTTAAACTCACAATTATCCTTTGTCCTTATCAAATTCACATACTTGCCAATCTTATTTACAAGCAGGTATTTTGATTTTATATGCTATTAAGGAAATAAAAATGAATCATATCCACCTTTACCAAGAATATCTTTAGTCTTTAAATACTATTTATTATTATTATTCATTTCATAAACATGCATTTATTCTATCCCAAATGGTTAAAAAGTGAATAAATTATCATTTATAAAGCATATTCTATAACCATATGTTTCAACCATTATCTTTTAGATTACAATCCATTTAGAATCCTATTATGATTGTTCTATTATTAATATTTATTTATCATCACCACATGAAATCACTTTATTCTATTGTTAATTCAAACTTAATCCTAATACATTATTAGTATGATCTGTGATAGTTTATTAACATAACCATTGATTCTACTTCTTCCAAAATTTAATAGTTTTATCCCTACTACCTGAAATGATCAAATCTTCAGTATTATTATTCAACACTAAACAATATATTGAATTATTATGTCCATTTAATTTCTATTAGCAAATCCATTAATTTCTTTAATTCATAGACCATATTATAATTGATTTATCATCACTTCCAGATATAAAGTGATTAGATTTATTCATAAAGTTTAAAGTATTTACATCATCTTAATGTTCAATTAGAAGTTGAGTTTTTTTCAACACTTCTTATTTGAATTCAAATACTTTAATTTCACTATTACATCCAGCTAATACAATTGAACAATCTTTATTAATAGCTATTGCATAACACCAATCATTTTATTTTATTGAATTATTGTGTATTATATTATAAGTGAATGGTTTTAGTATTAATTAAGAAGATGATTGAATAATTGGTTATTAAGTTTAAATTTACTTAAGTTATTGAATCTATAAATTCTAAGATTATAATTACAAATCCTTAGCTCTAATTGTTTCTTCTAATTTTTTTTTTTCCTTAATATTTTTTATACTTTAATTCTTCAATTCATTAATTAATTTCTATTATGATTGAATTTCTTTATTTTTTTATTCTAATTATAAATCCTTTGCTTTAATTTTTTCTTCCAGTTTTTTTGTTTTTATCTTCTCCTTTTCATTTTATAATTAATATTGAGCACTTTACATTTCCAGTTACTAATTTAAACATTCCTTATTGAATTTTACTTGATTTTCAATAGAAGACTACATTAAAAATGTTATTTTGTCAACGAATTAATTATTTAATTATTCATCTTAGATATCAGACAACGATACTTAAGGTAATTAATTTCTTTATTAATGACTACATTATTATTCCTACTATTTATGGAATCTTTAATTAGACAATTATTTAATATAATTAATTGTCTTAACAATTTTATCACTGATTCTAATGAATGAAAACTAATCGCTAATCCAAAATAATACAAATACCTTAATTTTTGATCGCATTCCATTAATGGCTTCATCGATTTAAAATGATTCTTAATCTTAGTGCATTGAATTATAAATAATGTTTTTTCAAAATTGTTTTTTCTATTAAAATAAAGATAATAATGCATCATAAAATTAATTAAATATTATTATCGAATTAAAATTTGATAGATTCATTCTTGACTTAAATAATTTTCCCCAAATCATGCTTATTGTATTCTCACCTTTAAATTTATTATTGTTGGATTAATAAGTTATATAATTTACATGAATAAATCATACCGAAAGATATCAATTTAAAAGTAGTTGGTTCTGTTGTCTTGTTTATTTCAAGTGAGGATTTACAATAAATTATTAATTTAATACTTTAAAGTAAACATTTATGATACATCTGACTTTTTGTTATTTAACTAATAAGTATAATTTAATAAAAATTAGAAAAAAACATGGCTCAAACTTCTGATTAATATTCACATTTGGATTTTAAGTTATGCTGATCTATAAACAAGAAGAAATTTTTACAAATCCAAAGGATCCAAAAATTATGGAATAAAATATCATTTTTAGTTATTAACAGTACTATATATTTGAAAAAAATGAAAAATAATGAATTTAATTTATTTATATAAAATTTTTGGTGATTCTACTTTATTTTATTTATCATTCTTTATTGTCTTATAATTTTCTACTATTTATTGAAATCAAAATTTTTTACATAAATGTAGCTTAAGTTTTGATTAAATACACATAATTTCTATTAAATTTAATATGATATCAATACAATCAATTGATCTAAATTATTTATGATTCTTTCTCTAATTTTATGTAAACTTTTGTAAAAGATTTAAAATTTAATTAAGACATCCTCTTCCAAAATTACTGAAGGTTTGTTAGAAAAGAAGCTATATATTTAAAATCGTCTTACTATTTGAATATCTTAGAAAGATAATTAAACATTTCAAAGCTATCTTGATCATTTTTGATATAAGTTAAAATATTAAAATAACATTTTTTGCTTGCAACAAATATAATAAATAGCATACTGGTTAATTATTAAAATAGAGCATAATTTAATATTTTATCAAAAATAAATAATTCCAATAAATTATTTTCATTTTTGATTAGAGTTTAAATGATAATAAAGTTAGTTATAAGAGAAACTTAAAATTCATTACACAAAACAACAGTATGGAGTTAAAGTGCATCATCATGATAAATGAAATTAAAAAGTTTATATTCTTCAATTTAAGTTAGAATTTCATACTACCAATCAGAAGCATTAATTTAGTATCTTTAACCAGAAAAGTCTAAAGGAAAATAACTTGCGATAAGTTAAAATTAAATATTTAATGCTTATATTAGATTATTCTAAATTAGTTCTTTTCATAAGCCTAACTTTATTGGAGTATAGAATTATTATATTAAAATTTAATTTCATTTATAATATCCATCGATTTCTTTTGAGAACTTTACCTTTTTAGTTTACTGTCTACATACCAAGTTAATTAAATTAGTTTTTTTAATTCTCAAACTATTCTAAATTATCCAATATATAAGGAAGGTTTCCTAATTTATCTATAAATCGGGTTTATAATAATAAATACACTCTTAAAATAAATTCATTATAAATTGAGTATTTTATTTTCCTATTTTTTGTTTATGCAATAAGAATTTCAATTAGAAATCTCTGTTCGTATTGTAATTCCAAAATGTTTTTCAAATTTGCCATCTTACAAAATATCAGTATGCATCTAAATCTAAAGTATTGTATGTTACGTTTGATCTTTAAATAAACTCACTTTTATAAAATTTTTAATCATTTTGAAAATTATGGGTTGTTTTTAATAAATAAAATAATGTTTAAAAAAAATAAAATTTTGATTATTAAGATATTTGGTTTTCATTAAATAAGCAACTATGAATTGATTTATAATTAGTACAAAGAAATTAAATTAAGAATTGAAATTTAGATTAAACAAAATATTAAAAATGAGGGCTTCTTTATATTTATACTTATTTCAGCAATCAGATACAGTCCATTTTCAATAATTAAATTTTATGCAATTTAATTTATTAACCCAAAATATTAGCATTATCAGATATTAAACTTAGATATTACTTCAGTAAATGGAATTTTTATTATTATTTTCCTTCATACTAATTTGCCTAATATGAATCCTAGCATTCAGATTAAAAGAATTGAGATATAAAGTATAAAACTGAACTAATAAATCTCATTATTAATAATAAAATATATAGAATTAGGAATGCATAAATTATAAATGTCCGATGATTGATCATTCATAGGGCATTTATGTACAATCATTAAACTCAAAAAATATTACATCTTTAATATTATTTGAACAATGTTAATAATGGATTAGAAGCCAGATGAATTCAATTTCAGATCTAAAGAAATTCAACAATCGGAGTTCAGAGAAAATTTGTATATTTCTTATAAATATAAGAAAAGAAAATTAATTACAAAAAAATGGAAAGATCAGAAATATTGTAGCTAAATACGCTTGCCATATGATTTAACTAAACTAGATCATATACACAATTTCTTTAATTGAAATATCTTATTGAAATAAGTAAATTTTGCCAAAAATATAAAAACTCCTTATGATACTAATTAAAAAGTAACCTGAGGATATTATGAATCAAAATTTGACCTAAAACAATAACTTTGAGATTAACATTCAAGAGTTAATGATAAAGAATACTTTTTAAATAAATCTAAAAAGAATAAAGTATAATATAATAATAAGAAATATTAGTTTTAAAAGTTAAATAATAAGAAATACTTACAAAATTTGAAGTATAAATTTGTTCTCGGACCAGATTCAAAATAACTAAGAAAATCAATAAATTAATGATTGTTCCATTAGAAAAAGAAGAAAATAGTTGTATTTAAATTATGAATAGCTATCACGCAAAGATAGTTCCATTAACCCAGAATTGAATAGATTTAATATTAATGATGGAAAATTCATTTTTGAAATAATTAGAAGATATGAAAATGGATAATTACATGGATGGGTTTGGATGATTTAGGTTGATAATGTAAAATAAAATGATAAGAAATAGTTTACTAAATTAAGTAGAAAAAACTAATTTAGAATTAAGTAAGCTCGTGTATATTAAGAAGGTTAGTATGAGAATGAAATAATCTGAAATGGGAAATATTATTAGTAGGATTAAATATGTTTTAATATATGTATAAGGTTAGTAAGGATGGTATTTAATAAGTAAGATGAGAAAGACGAATAATGAAATGAAATCTTATTGAAAAATTCCTACTATTACTAGTTCAAATAAAATTCCTAAATGGATTTATAGATGAAATAATGCAGGTTTTGTGTCTATCTTAAAATATTAGTGTAGTTTTCTCAATATAATTCCTAAATTTTTGCTTGAATCCAAAAATTAAGTAATAAATATAAATTATTATTATCAAATACTCTTTATGAAAGATTATGAAAGAAAGATTCAATTGAAAAATAAGCATATTTCAGATGATATCATCTGTTGCATATGGGGTTATATATAAATATGGTAAGAAATTTTGCAGATGAAATTTTTGGTGAAAAAACGATTATGTAGATAACTTTAAGTTAAATTTAAAGGTTATATAAAAATTAATAGAAATTAATTAGATGAAGTAGTTATTAAAATAAAAAAATTAGGGGATTATAAATATATATTGATGTAAAATTAGAATAATAAATATTATACAATTGATGAATTAGATTGAGGTTTTAAATAAATCGATGGGTCAAATATTTTGATAAAAATAAAAATTAATCCTATTATTTATAAAAAATTAATCCTATTATTTATAAAAATAAATTATAGAGACTTTAATCAGAAATAAAAAATAAAACTACTAATACTTTATTCAATATTTGATAAAAATATTTACATCAATTAATTTTACTTCTGTCTTTTCTATAATCCTGAAATAAAATCATATAAGATATGTTTAGTATTAAATAAATCAAATTTTATAGAGCCTTCTTATTTGATAATTAACTAGAATGAGAAAATTAGGAATAATATTAGCCTCATTTAAAGTAGGAATCATTGTTAATACATTCTAATTTACAGATCCTCTCTATATTTTTTAACATTCTTTAAAGATTCACTTTAAAATAGAGTTTAGGTTTATCATATATGAAATATTTGATTAAAATAATCTAAACTGAATTCAAGTTGTAAATATCCAATTTTTTATTACAATACTTAATAATATTTTCAATTTTATTTTTTTATAACTAAATTAAATATAAAGATTCTTGAAATCTATATTTGAACTAAGGGTATCTTAATTCAATTTAATATCTTTAGAAGCAACAATATGAAAATATAAAAGCTATTAATATTAGTAACATTTAGAATTGAAGCATTTCTAAAACCTATTTATTGTTTCAAAATATCATTCATCATATGATCTGATTAATTTAATAATCTAGGTATAAAAATTGAAATAATGTGCAATCTATATGTATCTAAAGAAAACTGAAAAAAGAAAAATCTATAATTTTACATATTATTATCTGAAATTCAGTTATATTTCTCCATTAAATTGAACGACATAATTTAAGTTTCCTTAAACTATTTTACAAAATATTATTGTTATATTATAACAATTTAAGAAATATAGGAGTACAAAATTATGTAACTTTAATTTTAAAATGTAATATAATTTTATACATAATAAATACTATAGAATTGAGTATTATTTATTATTTGATTAATTTAGTTATCTATATATTACTGGTCGATTATTTTTTAACAATAGAAATTTACTATAAACTGACATTTATTGAATTTTATGATAAATTAATCATTGGAAATTCTATAGTGGAGTTTATCTTAAGAAATAAAAATGATTAATAAATAGATTGATTTTTCAACCATAAAATATATTCTATAATTTTTTATCCTAACAGTAGAATCAAGTGTTTGAATTTTTATATAATCTGAAATCTATTTTATCAAAGTATAAGATTAATGTGTATATTAAAAAGAATTACTAATTAATAAATAAGGTTTATTAGGATATTCTTAAATGATTTTATAAGGAGATAATAAAAGAGGAAAGTTTTTTTTAAGGTATTTAAACATCATTTAAATATTATCCGCTTATAAAATTAGATATCAGAACAGACAACTGTCCTTAATAATAGAGTAAATTATTTTAATATAGATAAATATAAATCTGAATGAATGTATAAAATTCACTTATTAATCCTAATAAATTTGTTAAAACCCTCTTTGTTATTATTTTTAATTATAAAAAAATTAGCAAATAAATATATTGAAAATAGATAGAATCTAATGATTTTAAATTTAATCATGACTTTTCGGTTGGTTATATTCAAAAAGTTATTGGCTCTTAATAAATACTATTTGATCTTATTATTACTTATATTAAAAATTTTGGAATTCAATACCAATTGAAGAGGCTGTATATAGTTTTTAAAAGAATTTTTCTTATGATTTAAGTGATTTAATATAAAGTTTGATCATTTATACAAACATAATTATATATTTTGTTATATTAGGGATTGGTGATTAATAAGATAATTAGGCATTTTGGATGTTGATTTCTTAGAATGAAGATATCTATTATAATTCTACTTGAATCTTCGGGGTCTTATTTATTTATTTAAAAAGATATATGATTATCTTATTCCATCGATCAACTCTATTTCATAAAATTTAATTAGCTTCAATTTTTAATTTATTCGATTTTATTTATTTGGTTTTTAGTGTTATATATAAAATTTTACAATAGTTACACTTTTATTAATAATTTCATAATTGATCTAGAAATATTTATAGGAAATTTATTCACGATTTCTACTCTAGTATAAACAAGCCTTCAACTTATTTCATAAGAATTATAATAGATTCATACTTTTACTAAAAGCATTATTATTATAATCATTTAGAACAACAAAATTACTCATTTTATAGTTGATAATAAAAACACTTAAGAGGTAATCTTAATGACATATATATAAATTGACTTTGCTTTTGTTTTTTCTTAATTACTATATTTTTATTGTTAGAATTTTGAACTGAAAAAGGAGTAATTTCTTAAATAATAAAAATAAATAATTATCTTATTGAAATGATAGTTATCAAGAATACACCTTAAAAAATCAAAATAATTGACTCATGAGGAGCTTATGTTTATGAAATTATTAATAAAAGTGTAACTATTGTAAAATTT